TGATTACTGCGCATATGCGTATGCGCAAGTGCAGAATACGTTTTCGCCTGCGCGTTTAATGTATAACGGACGATGTAAGCTAAAATTATCTAATTATCTATTTCAGTTAATGTTAATGATTGCGTTGTTCCTTAATCTTCGAATTGGATCCCGCTTATTATTTTTTGAAGACTGTAAGAGCAATTTTATAAAAGTAAACTTGAACTTTCGATTATGTCAAATAGAATTTCCGATGCTGGAACTTCCAAAGGATCTACAAAAACGAAAGTATGTTTCGATGTCCAACAAACAAAAAGTGGAATTGCTGCCAAAAAATGGATAAAGACATGAAGAATGTGACAGAGAGGTTAGTGAAAACGAAAAAATTTCGATTGACAAGTTAGTCGGTATTCTCGGCACAGCAATTAACGGGACTTGAACAGCGGAACTTTGTAACTGAACAAGAAATTATGTCTGTTTATAGAATTAAAGAGAAAGTATTATCTCATAAAACGAAGCAGCTTAAACAACTTACATTGAAAGAAATGTTTAATAAAGTAAACAAATAAATATTAAGCTTTTTTTTTTGTAAATTTTGATCATAATTGTTTTTTATTTCATAAATTACGGTTTCATATTTTTAATTTTAGAATTTCTGCATGCCATCTTACGAGATTTAAACTGATGATCTATAATCCGGAAAAATCGATAATCCGGAATCGCCGAAGTCCCGACGAGTCCGGATTAACGACTTTTGACTGTAGTACCCAAATGGATTCTATGATGTTTTGATAATATTAACTAAATTGCTGATCACAATAAATAATGTATTTTAAAAACTTTCGTACACAAATGAGCGGGATTTCCGCAATTCAATAACAACATCCGAAAGACAACACACATCGCGATCACATAAAGTGGCGTCTACTGTATATATATTAACAGGTACTGAAGATTAGGAGCTAATAGAAGAAAGAAAATGGTTCATTGAGTGTGAAGAATATTGGTAAGCTGCCGAAGTTTTTCACTAAAATCTTTCAGGAAGATCTTCAGGGAGATTTTCTGACCAAAAACTTCCACTTGTACTTTTGTGTAACTAAAATAAATTATTATTTCAATTTGCTCAACATCTAAACTACGAATTTACGAAGATGTTTTACATTCTGTAGTAATGCCATTCATTAAATTAAATAAACTTTCAGCAACGAGTGCATGGAAGCAAATTAAAACAGATTTAGTCAGGTTGGTCCAGAGTCATAGCTAGGATTTTCAGCGCCCGGGGACAGTTGAAGATTCCGCGCCCCCTCCTGTTTACTAAGAATAGAAAATAGTTAATTCAAAAATTCGTAACACCAGTTTGGCTTTCCCTGGATGCTGCGCCCAGGAACAGACCTTGCCCCCCTCTAGATATGCCCCTGGGTTGGTCAATACTGGCTATTTCTGATTTTCATCTTCTTTTAGATTGAAAACTTTTGCTCCCATCTGACTTCACTCAATGCGCTAAGTTTAAATTTGCTACCGCTGAACTATATAGTTTTCCTAAAAAAAAAAAAAAAAAAATGTGATAAAGATAATGAGTCCACATTACACAAATCTGGAAATTCTGACTTTAAGAAGATTAAAAATCTGAAATAGTCCGAAAAATATTGTCTCTGGCAATACATACTTGTTGATCTAATAGCACGATAACTTAAAAATTTTTTATATTTTATTAACTTATCACAATAGTTTTGTATTTTGAAGATATAGATATTTGAATGAAAATGGCAGAAAATCAAATCTGAATGATTTTATATTAATTAACAAGTTATCTTATCATTTAACTCATTCATTCCTTATTTCATAATTTTGCCAACACTCTCACAAGCATTCAGATTATTTAATACGAGTATATTTTAAAATATAGAGTTCTAAAGTTCAATAGAGAGCTCCAAGCAGCTGTACTGATTGTCACGCTGTTACTTTTCTTTTCAACCGGATTACTTAGTTCAACTTTAGCTTTGCTATTCATAATCTAAAGTTTGAGGAGCTGAGCTAAATCTTAGAAGTGTGCTTGTTAATTTAACATTTTAATTTTATTTGAAATTTTGTATTTGAATTCTTGCATGGTATGATGATTTAATTTTTTGATATTGCACAGGTTTAACCATCAGGCTGATGATTAAGGTGTAACCAATCCTTTAACATAAACTGTTGGACTAACTGTGACAACAAGGCTGCCCTCTGGTGAGTAGCCAGAGAAATACTTCAGTAAAAGCCAAGTGTCCCACTTGATAGGTTGTACCAGACTCTTGCTCTGTAATTTTTCTTAAAGTTAAATGTAATATCCGTGTGTAACTTAAACCTGTTAATAAATACTTGTTATGCTATACAGGACTCTTCTATGACCCTATCTAAAACAACCTCCACACAAAGGTTTATTTTAAAACCTTATTATGAGCTGACATTATTTTAATTAGAAGTAAGGACAAGACAATAAGTCATCTGGGTGTCTTCATGGTTCCATGAATTATGATTTAATGTAGTGTGCATCTGCACATATTTACAGATTCTACAGATGCAATAGATTCATGTATATCAAATATATATATAGTGCATATTGTTATAGGAAAAGTTGGTGAGTGGCAGTCATTTATTTGATATATATATATTTCAGTGAATCAGTTCTAAAATGTTGTTAGAACAACCTAACTCTTTGGTGATATTGATCTATTTACTAGTAACTTCTAAAAAAAATTCTCAGATTAAAAATTGACTCTGAGATAGTTCATGCAAGTTCGAGTCACGTAAAAAACTAAATAAACATGCAGAAAACTGCATGACTAATGATTATGAAAACTGTATGTGACTATGCATATTTTACCTTGCAGCAAAATTATGCTAAAAAATTATGTTTATAGAACTCTAGTAAATCGCTTTTGTTACTTCATTATTCTTTTCAAGTATTAAACACACTAAATATCAACCTTACATCATATCTTGCAGCAATTTGTATTTGATATCTCAATCTGCTACATTTAAATTGATGAAACTTCATATCTCAGATTAACCAGTAAGTTTCCAAAATGAAATGTTTTAATCATTTATTTTTTTTATCAGAAATAAGCAGACAATTTTATTAAAATAGCAAATTGTTATTGCATAAAATCATATCAAATAGAAGCTTCTTACTGCAATATTGTATAGTTATAAATATATAATATTTCATATAAGTCATATCTATATTAATTGTAACCAAATTTTAACATATAGCTTTTGAAATACCAACAAAAGCTCCTCTCAGAATTATATACACATTTATAAACATTACTCTCATAAATAAAAAATTCATCAAAGAAATGTTCATGTACTTGTGACATGTTGAAATAGCAGTTTTAATTACTGTATCGGTGTAACTAATGCAGTTAACATATTCTGCATAACTAGAACGGTCAAGTCTTATACACTCATATTTCAAGTAATAATCAATTATTCATACAAATGGCCTACGAGTGGCCTTATGGATACGTCAGATGAATTCTAGCAATTTATACAGTATTTAAATCTAGGGTACTTTTCCGTTTCGCCGGCACAAATCTGGCCAAGCAGACTTTATTGGCAACACAAGACAGTATACACATAAAAAATGTTAACAGCTGTTAGTTCTAAGAATTTTTTATTTTGAAGGCATAACCATTTTAATATCATTTAAAATTATCTCCTGAGATAAAACGGCAGTTTTCCGTTTTGCTGGCACGAATAGCCTTAGGGCATAAAATTGAGCTATCTGGTAAAAATTCTATGTAATTTTATGGCAGTATTGAAAGAAACAATCAATCTCATAAGAAATGGCTACAACTTGTTTTGAAAATGATAACCAATAATTTTACTGAAAATGATGAAGGTATTAAGGTAAACATAATATTCTTCAGATAAAATGAAGCCATTATGTAAAACATGATATTTAATAAAGATTAATATACAGTATGTTTCTAATTATAATTACCTTGCAAGTTTCATAACAGTAACAGTTTTTAATATGAAAACTGAAATAATATCTCACTAATTGAAAAAAAGTAAGACAGATTTTTGCTTTATTACAAAATGTTACTATTAGGAATGTATTAGTTTATAATCAGAAATCTATAAAAGTGTATGTGAACATATTATCACATTGAGATGTAGATAATAATAGACACACAAAATAAATCATATTCAGAATAATAACATATTTTGAAACAAATTTATAATTTCACTTGTGACACAATTACTGATTAACTCATACACTATTATGTTTACAAGTATCTAGAATTAAATACTATATATCAGGTCAGTAAGAATGTCAATAAGTCTGACTTGGTTTCAAATCCTGGTGAATCCTTGACCTTTCCCAAGTGTAATTTAAAAACATGACAGCTTTCTTTATAAAGACTTCCAGGAAAGCTTTCCTCCCCTTATACAATGCCCTTTACTTTGTCACAGTTAATTCAACAAACGTTACATGCAACATATAAATAACAAATCTGAATTTCATAAAGTAATTCCAAGATGTAGCATTGCTGGCTGCCATACTGCCATGCTCAAATCTTGGATCTTATAAGGACATGGTGTTTGCTTGCAATGAGGATACTCAGGTCATGAGGTTTATTTGTCTTTAGGCCATTTTGGATGACTGCAAAAAAATTGCAAGTATGCAGCCATTTGTAACAACGATGACTTTGCTTCTTATATAGTTAAATGGTTCCCTTGAATTTTCCATAACTCCTAGCAGCATTGCTTTTTAATAACCTATTGTTAACCTCTAACAAACAAAATTTTGAACTGGTATACTTCTTAGACAAATAAAAGAAAAATTAATAGGCACTATGTATTAGTGAAAGATAATAAATATTCAACTATTGCACATTTAAGAACTTTTAATTTATGTGATATAAAAATAAATAACTTTTTCAATGCATACAATATTAAGCAGAGCTAATTTTCTTTGATTGCTCTGCTTCTTCCTCCCTTCTAAAAAAAAAAAAAAAAAAAAAAGAAGGAACTTAAGCTCAGGAACATTTATTATTTATAATTAAAGAACATGCTTCAATTTTTATTAAACTATTTTATGAAATATATATCCACACATTTTCTTTTAGTCATTGTAGATCTCTAAACCCACAAAGCTATGAATTTTGTAGAACATATCAAACGACATTTAAGTGCAAGTTATTTCACAAGATCACTTTTATACAGAATATCATTTTATTATTTTATTACACATTAAAAAATATTTACATATACATGTAATACATTTTCAAACATAATATCAAAAAATTCATTGCTATATTTTATAGTGCCAACATTATATCATAATATTTTCAACTACTCTTTGTTTCTCCACTGTTGCCTTCATTCCACATACAGTACTTTATCAGAAATTTTAAGCACAAAAGTAATAAAGTGTACAAGAGTTTTTATCGCATAAATGAATGAAAAATCATACTTGGTCAACAAATTTCCCAAATTTTTCTCCTAGTAAAATAAAACATTTCATTCAATTAAATTCATTTCCAAATTTAAAAAAAAAAAAAAAAAACTGCAGTAATTCCTCAACTTGAAAATATATAAGCAAAAATATAATAGCTATAGAAATCCCAATGTCATTTAAATGCCTAAAAATAAAGCACATTCTTGTTAGATAACATATTTAAAAAAGGATTTTTTCCTCCTATTGTAGGAGACGAAATTTATGATATATATAATAAAGGTTTTAAAAATGTGAATTTTATGCAGCAAAACAATAGCGTTTTAATCAAAATATATTTCATTGTCTGCATTACTTTAAATATGCAATACGAAATAACAGCAAAACTGCACATCGTATACAAAACATAATCTTAGGTTAAAAGTTAATGCATTTTAATACTTCACTGAAATGAACATGCATTTATATTCAAAATACAACAGCATTAATAAAAAAATTCATAACTATATGTGACTCTAAAAAACTTTTTTTAATACACTGTGTAATGATACAGTTTAAACAAGTAGTATTCTGAACAATGTATTATCTTCAGTATAGTTGCTACTGTACTTAAAAGCAACTAACTCATCGAGTGTTTTGTAAAATGTTGAACAATTTTTCTTGTTTCTTCATACTCTTTGGGAAAGCTTTGATTCTTTTTAGTCTACAAAATTCTGTTTCTTAACATATGCTTCTATTTTTATTCAAATTACTGAGTTTTTGAATTTCATAATGGCACATTCTAACTCGTTTAAATACAAGAATAAAGCACCTAAACAGTTTAATACAAATAATAATAATAATAAATGTCAATTAACTAAGCTGTTTTATATTCTTGAAAAACATTTTCAAATATAGAGTTGATTATAACTTTGTATCTTCTGTATTACTAACTACCAACCTAACACAATATGATTTAGTAAAATAAATGCAGTATACACATTACTTCTCAACAGGTCCACCATTTTTCACCCAATCTTGGAAACTACCAGTGTATACCAATGCATTTTTATACCCCAATAACTTTAATTTTTCAAATGCAGAAGTTGCTCTTTTTCCAGATCTACAAGACACAACCAGATCTGATGATTCCGGATTCGGTTTACTTACTCCATACTTCGACAGAAATTCAGAAGGTGGAAGTTTAAATGCTTCCTCGACTTGACCTAAAGGTATATTTAGCGACTTCGGAATTCGACCGTCATCTTTTAATTCGGCTGGCTCTCGTACATCTACAAGTGTGATATCACCGTTAAGTAATTTACCCTTTAAATTTTCGAATTTGATATCATTCACGGAGCCTTCACCTGCCATGTGTCTACTTTGAGAAATCAAGGAAAATACTGGCTGAGAACGGAACTGTCCTACCATCCGAGTCAGGAAGTTTAAAGCCATTGATTACATTAGAGTAAACAATCGATCAAAAACAAACAAAACGCTCGGCAGTTATTTTACACAATATAGGGGGGGGAAATTATCGTTACATGCCCTTTTGTTTACAAACTACGCCCTTTTGTTTACAAACTTCCACAATCTTATTTTCATAGCTCATTTTGTTGAAGGCCAAGAGATGGCGCTGTACAACTAGGAAGCAAGGCCAACTATATAAGTCAAATATTAGCAGCAGTTTACAGAAATTTTAAATAAAACTGAAAACGACGACTTATTAACAACTGTTTTTTTAATATCTTTGAGTTTGCTTTTTCGTATTTCCATCTTTCTGGATCTATTTCAATATCTTTAAAATTATACAATTTAATTATTTTACTTTCCTAATTCCTAAAATTTTGAAAAGGCCCTTCAGAAAGATTGAAAAACTGTTCTTCAAGTTTTGAAATCTCACTAAATAAGTACGAATCTTTATATTTTAGCTAGTTCCTAAAAAGGACTGTGTTAACCGCCACCAAAATTATTTTCCTGTCATAGTTATAGATGTGGCAATAGCTGTGTATTGTTTATATCTTACACACATGTGAAATTACGCTAGTTCCCCAGATTGAGTTATTTATCTGTAGTTATTGAACATTTTTTTATTCCTTTGTATATATATATATATTAGTAAAATCATGACAAAATTTTACGAAGAACTTGTGTATAGTTTCATACGTATTACAAAGTGCCATTCTCTGCCGATTACATTCGGGAAAGATCATTTATGGGTTAATATTGGACAGAATTCTATTGCTAAAGTAAGCTTCGTATCTCTGTATACATATAACCTACTGTACATAGAATAAAGAGCTCCATGTTACATTAAATATATTAGGTATATTTATGTAATTGCCAAAAATATGATGTTCAATCACTTTTTAAGGATAGACGTTATTTGCTAATTTAAATCCTCTTGTGCTGTAGGTGAAGGATGGCAAGCTTATTCATTCTTGGACACTGAGACAACCGCATGTATTTACATGCCCAGTTATTTTTAATCATGCTGAGGAAACGCTAAGTTGATATGAAAAACGTAATAAACATTTTTCTTCATTTGGGGCTCCACCTGTGGCCAAGCTGTTTTATGTTGGTACTGTGATGTTGTAATCTAAAGATTAAAACCAGGGATAGCTCTCATCCTGTTTTTTTTTTTTTTTTTTTTTTTTTTGTTGGGGTGGGGGGGTAGAGTGATTTAACACCAAAGAAATGCTCTACACATCTGATGAAAGTGGAAATCAAGTCAAGTGTACAATTGATAAATATTGGTCTAAAGTTTTTAATTTAAAAGATGATTTCACAAATGATTATAAGTATCCTACATTGGCTAAATTGGTCAAAGCCTGCCTTAGCTGCTTCCATGGCCCATTAGTGGAAAGTGCATTCAACTTAATGGATACACTTGTCACTGACTATAGAACCTCTCTTAAGATTGATTCCCTAGATGCAGTGCAGACTATTAAATATGATTTAATGGCTTCTAAAGAAACCTCATGTGAAAAATATGGCTCAAAAAATCCAATGACTGATCCAATTCACAAAGATCTCTTACTGAATATGAACAGAAGTTGGAAAACATATCAAGAGGACTTAAAAACATGTATTTCAGATGAGTCACCTATAAAAGTCTCTGAAAAACCTTCTACATTAGCAGAAAAGCAAACTGCTTCTACCTCTGCATGTGCAGTTCTCGAGGAAATTTCTTCAACTGTAAATGAGGAAAATAAAAGTCAACCTTCCTGCAATTATGAAGTTCACCACAAAAGAAAGACAAGCCCACAAACATCAGAAAATAAAAAAAAAAGCAGCAGAAATTAGATAATTTTTTTTAAAGAATTAATTCAGGTAATTTAAAATATTTACATAAAATGTAGTAGTTTATATGTTTGAAAATTTATGGTTATTAATTTTGCAAAAAAAGTAATTCATTGAACTTTTATAATTAGGTCATTCAATACTTCATAATTGTAATTTTTCATTTCTCTCCCCCCCCTTCTCGAAACTCCAAAATGTCGGTAGTAAGTCCGTAAAAGTTTCAGGGGATTTTTTGGGGTCCCACAAACAAATAATTAGTAATCTTTAATCTAAATTTTTTTTTTTTTTTTTTTTGATTTAATTTCTATGTTTATTCGGTTTTCAAAATATGTTAACTTTTTTTTAGGAAGAAAATAGAGTACTGGATAAGAGTGTGCAATGCCATTTTTGTGCAATTTGAGGATTTTTTTTTTAAGTAAAAATAGGTCGACATGTACATAGATAAAATCAAAGGAGTGCACAATGCCATTTTTGTGCAATTCAGGGATTTTTTTTTTTAAGTGAAAATAAGTCGATGTGTACATGGATACTGAGTTTTTGTCTTGTTATTTTGGCTTTGTGTAGCGGTGATTTTTGGCGCAAAAATCGCCGCTTCGCAAGCCAAAATAACGAGTCAAAGAATTGCACAAAATCAGTATCCATGTACCACCCCAAATTGCCAAGTTTTGCCAAGGGGTACTCTAAACGATACTTTTACCAAACCTTCATTTACACAGCAGTCGATGTTTTTTTCCCTTTTGTTCCAAATCATACAGAAATTAAAATTAATCTTACCACATTCAGCCATTTTACCATTTGAATTCTCAGCAATCACGCAACCAATTACGTCATAATAGGGTTTCTATAACATTCAACTACTCAGGTTACCGTAAATGAAACAACTTAGTAATAATCTGAGGGGCACCCTTAAATCTACTCTAACCATGTAATTTTCCCCTTTCTCATTGTATTCAAAGAAAAACTCTCCCAAATTTTAAAATTGAGTCGTCTATATTGTGATTGTTTTTATCTTACTAACAAAGGCAAGACCTTGCAAACTGCCTGTGAAGCTCCTGCCAAACTTTTGCCTTCTAACTGTTGAATGTTATACAGTCAAAAGTCGTTAATCCGAACATCTATAATCTGGACTTCAAAGCTACAAACTTTCTGCGTTGACGCATGCGCATAATATGTTTACGCATGCGTGTTTAATGTATAGTGGACGGTATAAGCTAAACTAAAATTATCTAATTATCTATTTCAGTTAATGTTGCAAATTGCGTTGTTCCTTAATTTTTGAATTAGATCCGGTTTATTATTTTTTGCATACTGTTAGAGCAGTTTTATAAAAGTAAGTTGGAACTTTCGATTATATCAAATAGAATTTCTGATGCTGGAGCTGCCAAAGGATCTACAAAAGGTAAGCATGTTTCGATGTCCATCAAACAAAAAGTGGAATTGCTGAAAAAAAATGGATAAACTCTCCTTTGTTTCTCTAACCATTCCGAAATCTGTTTATCAATTTCACGCTGCCATGCGCGGGGGGAGGGACATCGCGGCATGCAATGAACTGGAAGTTGTCTGTCAGCACTATCCTTATCTTCAGCGGAGATGTTTTTATTTTATTCGGCTTATAAATCCTTACTAAATGTAGTATTTCTTCTCGATGTACTCTGTCTTTGGTATGATTTAAATCAAATTCCTCGTCATTATAAATATCACGAATACAAATCAAATAGTTTTCTGGTTGCAATTTTCTAATTTTGACTATGCGTAATGTATGCTTTATGCATGTGCGTGTTGAACGAAATGTTTAATGAAGTAAAAAAATGAATATTAAGCTTTTTTTTTTGTAAATTTTGATACCCTTTAGATCATAATTGCTCTTTATTTCATAAATTACGGTTTCATATTTTTAATTTTATAATTTCTGCATGTCATCTTACCAGATTTAAACTGATGATCTATAATCCGGAAAAATCGATAATCCGGGAATCGCCGAAGTCCCAACGAGTCCAGATTAAAGACTTTTGACTGTATATTAAAAACCGTAAGTAAAGTAGTTGTAAGTAAAAACCAGTAAACAACAGTAAAAACTGTAGTCGATCTGATATCATAATAAATATTGCATCAATTAGTATTAATATTCCAATGTTTAGTATAATTTCTGGAAAATTTTGTATGCCTTTTGTGTTTAAAGAAATTTTACCAAAATGTTAACAGTTCTATGATAAGCCGATTTTATTAACTTTTACTTTTTCATTTTAGACTTTAATTGAGTGGTCTGCTGCAGCTGATACACTTCAAGGTGCTACAAAAACAGAGGTGATAAATAACTGCTGGTTTTAATTTTTGACATTAAGTATTAATATTCATAATTTTATTATGTAATTTGTATTTTATATTAACTTTCCTTTAAGTATGGTTCCAAAAGTGTCTGAGCGATAAAACTGATGAACAGTGATATTTCAACCTTTCAATCTCAGTGTTTGTGTGCGAGTTTTTACGGTTTCTTCCTGTGTAATGAGAATTTCAGTCAGATTTTTCTCAAAAATCCTCCACAAATGCAATCCTTTCTATTGCAGATAGCCTTCAAATATTTTGACATTATTTAAATAATCTTTTTTTTTTTTTTTTTTTTTTTTTTTTTTAACGGTATCTGGCTAGTCATTGAAATTTTACTGGAGCTTATTTCATTCAGTATATTACTATAGAGCAGGGGTGGGCATTAAGTCAATCATGATTGACTATTGGACCACGAAGATATTTTGGGGTACCCGCCTTTACTAAGGCCTAAGATGTGCATAATAAAATAATTATATTTATGACACACCGACACCAGCTAGACTGGAGAATCTGCTTTTCAAAATCGATGTGACTGTATTCAATTAAGCAAATGATTCGATTGAATGTGTAGATGACACATGTACCTTCATTGGAAGTGCAAAGTGGCGCTCAAGTACATACGAGGGCAATCCCCAAAAAAAGGTCTCCTGTATTTTTAGATATACAAAGAATCGTTTATTTTCTATAATTGCTACATCACTTTAAAGATTGAAGAATGCTTTATTTTTCAACATAATCGTCATTTCGGTCGATGCATTTTTGTAGACACTGTGGCAGTTTTACAATGCCCATGTCATACCAGCTTGCCGCCATGCCCTTCAGGAAGCGTTGGTGAATTTCAACCGGTTTAACGCCTTTCGTGTTCAAAAATCGAATAACTGTATAACCACTCACAGCAGTGTTGCCAACAACCGTATTAAAACTTTCTCTACGTCCCCCAAAAATAGGAGACCTTTTTTTGGCGATTGCCCTTGTACATCGGTTACAAATTTATCAGTTCACGTATGCTACTTGCTGCATTAGGCTACTTGCAGATGGCAACATAAATGTCACAGAGGCATAGTCACAAGGAATAAAATGTGGAAGTTCCATTCACACTTGCAACACAGGGTTTAAGCCTCACCCAATTAGAGAAGCAAGTTTGTTCATGCGTAGATGTGTCTACAGCTTTCCCATTCAGGTTTTGCACGTTCGCTCTGATTGGTCGAAGCTTATCCCAAGTCGGCATAAAGTTGAACTTTATGCCAAGAGCCCTAAACCAGATTTTGTAAGATAGCACAGATTGGTAGAAGCTCAGCTTAAACCACTTATGCTCTTTATACTGTCATCTGAATGCATCTTTAAATACATCCACGATCTAGTATTTGTTAAAGTTCTTCAAACATTCAACTTAACAATTTTGTGTTACTTGTGTTTTTGTAAGTTTTGATACAGATTTTCTATTAAAAAGCGAATTGCATAAACAAAAATTAAAGGAACTTAAATCACAATTAATCGTACAACAATGATATTTTATTAAATTCAATACTATATATATCTCAGGCTGCAACAGTTGCAATTATTCGTGCAAGTCATGTTAGCAAAACCTCAGAAACTTTTCGTAGATGGAGAAATGGTAAAAAAAAAAGTGTTTCTGGAAGCCAGTGAGTCATTATTTTATTCATTCAAGAACAAAAATGAAATTATTACCGCAATTCAAGACATACAACTTTCACGCGCCGTATAGAAATGATGAATTCTGATCTGGTTGATTAGCTGACCGAAGCTATTACTAACTGTATTTGCTTTTCCTTGCAGTTTGGTGAATCTACGGACATAGTTGATATTTCTCAACTTTGCATTTTTATAAAAATGTTTTTTAAGGATATGAGTGTAAAAGAAGAATTATTAACAATATTACCTCTAAAGAAGAAAACATGAGGTGAAGATGTTTACTGCCCCTTCAAAAAATATATAGAGGAGGAAAAATTTCCAATTTATAAAGTTGTATCAATGACAACTGTGATCAGCGCAGTCAATGTATTTTTGGCTATGTGTATTGGAGATGATGGCTTACCACATTTCCTTTCTTAGCATTGCATTATTCACCAACAGGCCCTCTGTTGTAAAATTCTTAATATACGTCTTGCTATGGGAATCAGGATGAAAATTATGACTAAAAATGTATTGTGCCATTGTGTCCTTTGTTTTCCGTGCACTTCAAGTTTGCTCCACTAAATTGGCTCTTAATCAAGAACTAAATTATTTAAAAGCAATAGCTATTGATTGGGGCTTTTCATCCAACGTTATTAACCACGCAGTTAAAAAATACTCGTGAAATACATGAAAATAGTCGATGTAAGGATTCGCCTTTGCTGTACTTGCGACTCAACAAATGTCTTCGGCATATCATGGTACCGACGGCCCGTAACAGAACATGTGACAAGCCCACGTTCACCAATTTCCTCAAAGAATGGCCCAAGGATGAATATCACCGTGAATCCACACCAGACAGTGACCTTTGGAGACTATTGGGGAATTTCAGTGTGGATCTGCGGATTTTCCTTAGTCCAAATACGGCAATTCTGTGTGTTGACTGTCCCATTGAGGTAGAAATGAGCCTTGTCACTCCAAAGAATATTCCAAGGCCATGACATATCAACAGTCATTCTGTTGAGAAAACTGACTGCTAATGAGAGATGTTGTGGCTTGTCCCTATCAAGCAGCTCCTGGGTATGGCGGATCTTGTATGAGAAGTAGTGAATTATGTTTCTGAAAACTTTTCGAATGGTGCTGTAAAAATAGCCTGTCTGTCGAGAAACTGCACGCGTACTACTGTCCTCAAACTCTGATGTCTGTGACTGTTGCATCAACAAGTACCGGTGTGACACGTCTACAGCCTCTTCCAGGTTGAACTCCTCGTCTCTTCAAATTTCTTAATCATGGCCCGGATACCTTTAATAGACATTAGTCTATGCCATAGGTTCTTTCTATGATGAAATTCACAAACTGCATCAGAAACATTTAGATAATAACTTTCTTGAAGTTTCATCAAATGCTAATTATATGACCGTAAAAAATTATTCTTATTTTAAAATCCATGCTTATTCAAGTTAATTTTTAATAAATTCATTTGATGTTATATTTAGGTTATCCTGATTTTAATTTAAGTTCGTTCTGTTCTACCACTATGAAAGTTATGTTTATTGAATATTTATTAAGCCTATATAATACAGTTTTTTTTTTTTTTTTTTTTTTTTTTTACTAGTGAGGAACTTGTTATAAGCTAAACAATGCTAACATGCAAAATACAGTACCCATATATTTGCTGTACTCTATTTATGTATTTATGTACTTATGTAAGTTCTAAAAATGTGTAAATTACTTTGCTGTAAAAGAATACTGAATAATGTATAAAATTTCTATAGTTCCAGGAAAATGTTTTCTGTTTACTTGATGTGCCTGAACAGAAACCTGTCATTCTTTTCAATTCTGGAAAGTATGTATACTCCACTGTCAATTCAGAACCTTCTGGAAGAACTCTTTTTGGTGAAGAGGCAGAATTAATGTGGGCAGATGCTGCAACCTGTGAATCAGATTTAAAAATTATCTGCATTAGCTATAAAAAAAAGGTTTTATTTCCTCTGTATTTTAGCTAAAAATCGTAATTGTTGTGTATGTGTTCAAATGGTTTAATTTAAAAAAAAAGTATATTTTAAATGTTCACTATTAGTTTGACAGATGCTTAGTAATACTTGTTATGAAATTTAAAATTTGGTAATAAAATAATTTTATGAAAACATCAAAAAATACTGTTCTTAAAATTTTTGATTTTTTATATAGTACTGGTAGTTTATTTTGGAGGGAAAGAAATATTAATACTGCATGAAGGGCTTTGGAAATTATAAATTCTGCGCCTTAAATTTTAGTTCATTAACATCAAAGTTATGTGTTATAAACTTCTAAAATGAACTAGATCTTACAATCTGCATGTCTTCGTTCAGAGTTGTGATATATGTATTTTGTATGAAAATTCATTAATTTCTGATCATCTGCAATCTCAATGAAAAATCACAAAAATGTATTCATGAGAGAAAGCACAAAAATAGTTATATAGCCATCCATAATGTAATCAAAAATTATTCATGCGGCAACCCAGCCATGTGCATAATATGTGTTTATTTTGGCTGGTGCATAGTCATAATGTTATATGGATGCCGACTTTGTGTAATTCTGTGATATTTTTTTTTAAGTGAGAACAAATTGTATACGTGGGGAGAATAACGGCCAAAAAAGATAAGCCATGTCTATTACCAATGTTTCTTGCTTTTTAAATTTCATTCATTGATTGCTCTTTTAGGGATTCTTACTGCGCCACCATTTTGAAAGTGGCTTTTTTCTCATTAGCATGGTGAAAAACCCCCAGTGACTTTTCCCAGGACATTTCGGTTGGGATGCAGACAGTCAGAAAATACTGAAAGTTTTCTTTTTCTTTGAGACGTTTAATTTCTTAAAATTTTGCTATACAAAAATTGTGGTTTTCTTTCATTTGAATAGATTTTTAATTTATTTTTTTAAGTACAAAATATTTAAAACTTATATATTTTTTTTCTTTTCTAGGTAAAGCAATACAAATTACATTGCTTGTCACTTAGTAAAGATGCCATTAACTCTGCAAATTATTTACACCAAGTGCTTGCTCATAATACAGCTGATCTGAAAAACTGGTGTCTAAATAAAATTAATTCAAATTTTTATACAATCTGTAAGTAAAACTTTCATATATAAATTTGATTAAATGTTTGTTTTGAATTTCAAGATTGAGTGGAATTATTAAGTTATACAGTCAAACTTTTAATGAAATTTATATATATATATATATATATATATATATTTTTTTTGATTTTAAACAGTTGCATGTTTGTATCTTAAACTTGTTATATACAGATTCGTACAGCTGGCCAAAATCGCCAAATGGTCCTTAATTTTACTAATTTGACATTTCTGTCTATTTTTTAATGACCATTGAGTGCTAATTGACATTTTGGAAGGGTATTTTTTGGCAGTTCATTAACAGATATGTATTTGATTCAAATAATGTATTAAATTATTTGAGTTTTTCAACGGTGCGATACTTGAATTTTCGGACATGTGACCCTGTCTCTAACGAAACATTAGCATTTAAAAATTATTTCTTTTTGAGAATAAAGAGTTCATAAAATACACTGCAGTGCCACTGAATTAGGGATAGACGTGGCTATGCACATTTTATAACACTGCGTGGCATCTGTGCTCTTGTGAGGAAGTTGTGGTAAATGCACATATAGCTAGTACTATGCTTGTTGTTAATCAGTTGTTTCAGTTACCAGTATGGGTAAAACTTCTGATTTAGACACCTTCGATCTCGGCAGATAGTAGACACTCGACTCATGGCCCATTCAATTTCAAAAGTCCTTATGGTGGGAAAAAGAACTAGCGATCAGGCAAATTGCAAGTGACAATTAACCTAGAACAAGCATGGTGTGAGACGGCTCAGACGTATTGTGCATAGTCAATGAAGCCAAACATTAGCTCAAATTACCACTCAGCTGAATCAGGGTGACTGTCATACAGTCAGTAAAAGGATTTTCAATGCTTGCTTCACCATATTGGCTTTGGAAGCCATAGACCCATGAGAATACCTTTGCTGAATGCATGTCATCGAGCTGCATTTCTTCCCTGGGCAAGGGAATGCAGAGAATAGACTCTAGTGGACTTGAAATAAGTAGAGAGGAATAATGAGTCTGGATTCCGACAAATTAATACGGATGGGAGACTGAGAATATGGCATCAGACTCATGAAGCCATGAATCCTGTATGGCAGATTGGAACTGTACAAGGCCATGGTGGCTTAATCATGGTCTGGAATATTTTCTCTTGGCAGTGTTTGGGATCTTTGATACTTGTACCAACCCCCTCGATATGATTCGGTACATACAGTTGCTGGGCCATCATTTCCATCCATTCATGTTGTCCTGTTATTCACACAAAAATGGAGTATCCCAGCAAGATAACTGCATCTCTCGCAGGTCGCGGTTGGCTACTGGCTGGTTTGGATGAGCATTCTTCTGACTTCTCTGTCATAAATTGGCTACTTAAAAGCCCTGAGCATCTTTTGGACATTTTGGAGAAAGGTTTAAAACCTCATCACACAACACTAGCGACTCTCCCTAAATTATAGACAGCTCTATCCGATGTTTGGCAAGCCATTCCCGTAGATTGTTTCCAGAAACTTACTGAATCTATGCTTCGTCGTATGGCAGCCATTATAAAGGCCGGATGAGGCCCAACTCGTTATTGACTAGCTATCCCTAATTCAGTGGCACTTCAGTATATAACATCAAAAACAAATTTTTTGAGATATGATTTGTTTTATTATGCAGTGCTAAATTTGGCAACTTATCAATATTTTGGCAATTTCAAAATATAAGGAATTTTCTCTCTCCTTCTTATGTCTTCCTGATGTAATCGAAGCACACCTAATGACTCTACAAAGATCAATTTGTATACAGAATTTTTGACTCAGACCTTTGCAGATTTTTTTGTGTTTCTCCATGTCATATTTAAATGACATTACTTTCCAGTTTGGCAACTTGGAAATATTTTGATTCAGAAAAATAAATAAGATAATAAATGCTATAAAATGCAGTTTCTGAAGAACTTTTTAGCAGGAGCAAAAAAGCTACTGTAGTAATTTAAAAATTAATTTCATTTGTCTTCTTTTATATTTTTTCATTAAGGTTTTTCCCCATTGAGTTTTTCAGAGTATTCAAATTTGGATGATTTATCTTAAAAATTCACTTTACATTTTTCTTTTCTGTATTTATTTATTTATTTATTTATTTTAATCTTCTGGCTTTTTGCTCTTACAGAGCAGAAAAATTCTTACACTTAGCACCTCAGAAGGTTTAGAAGGATTTGAAAGCTAGATTGGCAGAAAAATGTGACAAATGAAAAATGTCTTTATCGTGTTAACATATAATGATTGGGTTTGATATGAAATTTGTAATGAATTTCTTATTTTTTTGTAGAATTTTCGTAAGAACAATGAAAACAAAGTTATTGGAATTTTCTGATTTTGATCCTAAAAGTCTTTCTCTTAGCATGTTTATCTTCACCTTATTTTCGCATCTTTTCAGTAGACACTAGCATGAAAATTGCTGAAATGGTCTCTAAATTTTGTTGCTCAGTACTTCATTAACTTATAGAATTCTGCCACTATGGTGCTGGCCCTGACCTTACATTGTTTTACGCTTATTTTCAATCCTCATATTGTTAAAGAAATAAAATTAGCAATTTCTTCTATACATTCTAAATACATGCATTTCTTTAGAATAACAGAATATCTGAGATCCTAAAATGAAGACAAAGCTTATTGAGAAAGCAATTGATTATATAAAGAGAAAGAAAATTGTTCTTCAAAGGTGTGATGTTGAAGTATTAACAAATTAGAGGATGAAGAAGAAACTAGTGGGAGTATAGATTTGTTTACTGACACAAATAAGTGTAAAAAAGTGCTAAAAAGAAAATTGGGTACTTTTCCGTTTTGCCGGCGCAAGCGATAAAGTCGCCAATAATGGTACAACCGATGCCAAACGGAATATTCTCGCTGGTAACCTTTTACGCCTCATTTTCAAAACAAGTCGCAGCTTTTTCTTATCAAATTGATTGTTTCTTTCAATGCTGGCATATTATTACATAGAATTTTATCAGATAGTTAGTTTTATGTCTAAGGCCATTTTCGGCAATTAAATCATCAGGATGCAATCCACAGCGCTTACCCGAAGCCGAAAATATAGAAAAGGTAAAGTCAAGGGTTAAATTCATCAATTCTAATGAGAATGCATTAGCGAAGTAAAGCACTGCAGTTTTACATAATTCTGAGTAAGTTATTCGTACGAATTGAAGTATTTCTGCATTTAAACTTGTATTCCAAATAAGATTAACTTGAAATTAATTAGATAATTACTGAGAGCATTATATTTTTGTAGAGTAGTATACGTGAGATGAGATCGTTGGGGTCACGTTATATAAACCGGCGAAACACGGTTGAACCATGAAAGATAGTAAATTCTTAAAATTATGTCTTTTTATAAATTATTGTCTTATTATTGGCTTTTTTAAAATTTTAAGCGATATTAAAATGTTTATGCCTTCAAAAAAAGAATTCTTAGGACTAACATTTTTTAAATATTTTTTGTGTGTATAATGTATGTTGTCGCCAATAAAGTCTGCTTGGCGAGATTTGCGCCGACGAAACGGAAAAGTACCGAAAATTGATGTACATTACCTAAAATATATAGAAAATTTCAAATTAAAAAGACAAGTATTCTGGTGTGTGCTGTTGCCATGAAACATACATATTTTGTAGCTTTAATTTCCTAATATTGTTTTAGAATCAATAGCCTAAATTATATATGCATAATAATGTTAAGTAAATATTAGATTACACTTAATAATGATGTAACCTGCTTACAGATTTTTTTTTTTTTTTTTTCTTAAAATGGTATTACAAAAGTAAAGCTTGTGTAATTGCTTTCATTTATCCAATTCCCTCCGCCGATAGGTCCATAATTTTTTTCATTAGTGGTCCTTAAAAATCCTGTATGCTGAAATGTGTATGAATTCTGTACATAGTGTAGAACAGCATTTATAAATTTTCACTTAATTTTAAATGGTGTAAGAAGGAGGTTTAATTTTTATTTAATACTAAATGATATGTTGTGTAAAGTAACAGGCAGTTATTACACAAATGTTATAAAAATATTATCAAGTTATTATGTTATGATAAAATGTTAAATAGTATCATATGCTAGTGTATATTATACAGTAGAATTCTGATAATTGGCAATCATTTAATCTGCGAATGGTTCCAGTTTGAGTTAAATTTTCAGTTAAAACAAATAAGATTTCAATTTTCAGAAAATTCAATGTGGCAAATTTAACAACAGTTATTTTTCTTATGTGTATATGCAACTAAACTTTTTTTAACAAAAATTAACTATATTCATGACACATTTTGATTAAAAGAAAGAGTTTTGTGGTGTTTTCTGACTATCTGTGCAGCCACTGAGAATTCACATAAAAAGAAAAAATAGTATTCATTTGACAAAGTAGTATGTCATGAAAAGAGTTATGTAGCAACTCAAGGGGCCAAGTAATAATTCCCAAGTATTTATTTGGCAGTACAAGTGTAGCACATATTTGTTTCATTTTTTTTCATTGATGGATGTTGAAGATTCTTAATTTTTGCATTAAAAATGTGTAAGGACCTTGAATAAATGTAATGCAGAGTATCTAAAATAAATTGCATTTTTGACAATAAATTAAAGTGTTATAAGAGAGGGAGAATATAAGAAAGTTTGTTCTATGTTTGAATAATGCCATTTAGGAAGCAGAGTAGATAATTAAAAAAAATAATAATAAAAAGATTTGAAAATGAAATGCTTTTATTCTGTACATAATCATGCTACGCAAAAAATCATTGCTTACGTGACATATGGTGAGAACTGATCGTTGATTAATTATATATGTGGCATAATTTAAATTTATTGAATTCTTAATTGTAATTTGTTTTAAACTTATGTTAGATTGAGATTTATGTTTATTTTGATTGAGCTTTTTTCCATACCATATAATATAAAGAAAGCAGTTTCCCCCTTTTTTTATGAAATAGTGTCAATATGTTGACAGAAATGTTTTGTAATTTGCTTGATTATATTCTATTACCGATTGATTATATTTTATGCTTTTCTGATATCAAAATTATAAAATATTTAGAATTTTTATGTATATGAAAACTGAAGTATACTGATTTTTAGTGAATAATTATTTTGTTTTTGTTTAAGGGTCTGATGGTGCAGTACTGAGCCATAGAACAGATAATAATGCAGAAACAACTCCTGTACTTTTAATTCCTGAAGTAGAAGAAAATACATTATTAGCCATTGATGTCATAGATTCATCTCATGTTGCTGTTGCAAAAGCTGGATCCAAGAGTAAAGGTTTGTATGCTACTTTTGAAGTTGTATGAGTAAATTTTTGGAAGCTTAGTAAATTTTAAATATTCATTCTACTCATGTTTAATACAGACCAGCGTACAACTTGTAGAGTACATTCTTATCTAGGGCAGCAATTATAAGATAATGCATGGTTGGTATACATGGTTAAATCAAATTATCTTCTGAGGAATCCTGAAATTCCTCATAGCAGTTAGCATGTTAACATATGTTAGTTTAGTATCTGCAGAGTGTATTGTTCCATTGCTGTTTTGGAAAACAGACATCATTTCAAATCAAAATGCTAGTTATATTTATTTAAAATTATGCTTGTAAAATTTAAAGTTAGAATGCCATTGAAACAATATGCGATATTCAGAATACTGTTTTAAATACTCTTTTCTAAATCTGTAAAATATTTATATATTGAAATTTTAAGGCTTAAAACTCAATTCAAATTAATTGGAACTCTCTATGCTCTTCTGCAAAGGAAGGAATTCATCAAAGTGAAGTTTCATCTCTACAGTATCAGAAATCTGCATACATGCTATATGTGTGTATTTGCACCATGTTTGTTGTCAGAAAAAATGTGCGTATAATTTTCTTAATATCCTTTCTTTTCAGAAATTTCCTTAGAAATATGGGATTCAAAGTTTAGTACCTTAAAGGCTAGAAAATTATTGAAAGCAACTCATTTTGATTATCCTCAGGTAATAATATTGATTATCAAAATTTTCTGGTGAACTAAAATGTATTAATATATTAAATATATATATATATATATATATATATTAAGAAGAAAGGAACAAAACTAATACATATATTTCATATGTAATAATAAATACTACTACCTTTTATCTCTTTCTTATATATATATATAAATGAAAGAGGTAGTTATATTTATTAATTATAGATTCTTCAGTTAATTTGATCTTTATGTATATACAAGTATCCCTCTCACAGTTTTCTACAAAATGGTTTCTTTCAACATGGTAACACAATAAGAAAATTTCAAAACTCTTGTATAGCATAGCAACATGGTTTCATTCTAGCACATTAATGAATATGCATGAATTCACTTTAGAACTCTTTATGTATGTATATATTTTGATAATATGGTTTTTATTCTAAATATATACAAAATTAAACTAATGTGTTATGCCATCCTGTGTAGTATGCAAGAACAACCTCTTTATGTATGCACACAAAATTAAAATAAATTCTGGTAATACCTGCATTCTCTCATATCAAAATTCTTTTGAAATGGAGTAAATGTCCGTCATTTACATGTGTATCTTGGCACTTTAAGTGTTCAATTGGCAGATTACATATTACATAATTGTGATTTTGGAAGAATATTTTTTTTAATTGGGAGTATGTGTTACGTTCTTTGTCTTTTTAGGAATTCAGATTACTAATTAGCTTTGTCAGATTTTTTTCCTGAAATTATGTTTCAGTCCAAATTTATGTCTGAAAGTAATAAACAATTTATTTCTTTGAAGATGAAAATACAAATTTTGAATTGTTTGATAAAAGGGGAAAAGGCATCTAATGTTGCAAAAAGTCTAAATTTATATGAGGCAACTGTGAGAATCATTAAAGAAAAATATTTTGTTTTTAAAAGTTTTTGGATAGCATCTCTCTATTTTGTTTTGTTAGTCTTGTTTAGCATGATATTTTATATCTGCATATATATATATATATAAACACAGAGTAGAGAGAGAGGTTGAAAAATAAATAATCAACTTGTATATGTGTGTGTACATAAGATATAAATTAAATACTATGCAAATTTATCAATGAATTAAACTTAAATGGAATGCTTTTAAAATAGACCTTTAAATTACTGATTTTTAATTAAAGTACTATCCCTTCAAAGAAATTTTCATTTTTCCTGAAGTAACTGCAATGCGAAATCTTTTGCCCAATCACTATTAAAGATTAAAACTTTCCAAGCTTCTAAGTAGTACTGCAATTAACTATGCATCCTCCATCACCACTTCACCTTCCATCTGGCAACGTGTTGCTTATCATCTACTAGCTATTCTCCCTCATGTAAGATGTAATTGCATATTTGCAATTGTGAGGCTCATTTAGCACCCTTACCAGTTAAGAGAATATTTGTGTAGAAATTTATCATATACAAATAAATGGTGTTTAATACTCAAGCTGGCCATCATCTTTCCAAAATTCCATCTGGCCATCCATTACACTGCAAATTCCAGTAATGTATGCAGTATTTTTTTCGGCCGTGACTAAACAGTTGATTGGTGCCTTTCCTAATCAAGCTGCCTCTAATACCAAGTTATCTACAACAAATAAATCATTATATATGTGTGTGTACATGCACACACAGAAACTGATTATTTAACAAACTGGTAGGGAAACACGCAACTGTAAAATATAAAACTAAGCAAAAAAGGCAATGCTAGTTTGAAGGTAACAAAGATCCCTCTTTTTCAGTAGCTAGCACTTTTTTTCTCATTGAAAAGAGTGACCTATGTGTGATCATTCTTGAAACAATCAGAGTTTTATTTGAAATCCATACCCAATTAAGGTTGCTTTTTTATTTAATTTTATTTTAGCCTTGTTATTGATTTATAAAATAAAATAAATATATAAATAATATATAATATAAAAGTTTAAATTTTGCTTTTTCAACAGATATTATAATTTAACATATTTTGTATGCAGGTGTCAACAGTGAATTCAACTGCATTTCTACCATCCAGTGAAGGCTTAGTAGCAGTTGCTTTTCATGTTGAAAAATCTACCTTAGCTTCTGTAGTAGGAAAATCTATTGCTGTTTCCCCAAATACAAAAGAGTTTTCTTGGAATGGAGGAAAGGTAGTTTATTTGTATATATTCCTTCTTTGTGCATGAATTCCATAGTATTTTAATAAAAAGAATGAAAATTTATAGTTTAAAAGGGTTAAATAATGGAAATTTATGATTTAAAAAGGTTTTATGTAGGTAAAATATGAAAAGTTTTTATGCAGGTTATGTTATATGAATATGTTTTAGGTTTATGTTAATGAAATTGATATTGATTTTGTCGGAAAAAAGAAACAAAATTTCTTTCAGATATTCATATAGGGACTTTACTGAACTTATTTGTTATGGTGATTATTTACCTCATAAACGGATTGTAAAGCAGTGTAAAATGTACTTTAGAAATTAATAACAGAAAACTAACAAAATGCTGTACAATAATAGAATGATTAAAATGGGCAGGTCCATTATTCTAAAAATATAATCTCTAAAAAATTGTGGGGTGCATAGCTCACCCACAGTGATGATGGGAAATGAAAAAGAATATGTGTCATCAGAACTTATTATCCAGAAATAAAATTGTGTGTGGAATTTACAGCTATGTGTGAGTGCCAACTTTCTAATTATGCAGTAAAGCCTTTCTAAGTTATAATGCAGAGAACCATTTCCAATCCATTGCAGCTTTCTCTAAGTCATGCTATTACAATAAAGTCTGACAGGATGTGAAAAATGACTCCTGCTTCATTGAAAATTGGTTAGTTTAAAAGTGCTAAATTGTCTAACTGAAATCCTTACAAAGCAATATCAAGAAGGAAAATGGAAAATATATATATATATATCATTATGCTATGGCTTTCTAGTGCTTAAATATACAACCTACCTTAGCTTTACAATTAGTAATCTTTTAAGTTGTAATTAAAAAGAAAATCATTCATCTTAATGTATTAACAAGTGAACCAAGATCCTTAGGCTGATGATTCATCTGCTTCCGGTTTTAGTATATGGGAAATTAAGGTCATCAGCGTTGCACAAGTCATATGCCATGGATTGAACTAGAAATGATGCAGTCCAGAAAAAGGCATTACTATTTTTAGAATAGCTAGTTTAAATTATAAGTTTGAGATTTATATATTTTTTATCTTATATATATGAACACAATTTTTTTATATAAATAGAAAAATGTAATTATTCCAAGAATTTTCATGCATTATGCCACAGAAAATTTATCAGTAAATACATAAAGGAATTTAGAACCAATTGTTTACAAAGACCAAAAAATGAAATTCAAATAACTAAGTTTAAAAAAATTTTATAATTGTAGAATTATGTAGATGTTAAAAGAAAATTAAAATAAACCAGCGTAATAAAAACCACAAACAAATTAAGTAAAAAAAGAACATGAAAGATGAGGAATCCAATCAACTTCAACATAATGTCTCAGGAGGAGGATATGCTAAAATTAATTATAATTCCTCTTACATAATAAAATTATTGTTTTTCTGTATCCAGAATTAGCTGATAAACCATTCCTATATAAACGGTTCACCCTAAAATTCTGGTCCTTCCCAAAGCAAGAAAAATAGGAAAAATACAAAGCAAAATGATTAATGAAAATTTTTTTTAATTTAAAATGAGCTTTCCCAAAAAGGTAAACTTGCCTCGTGATACATATAAAAATTAGAACTTTCAGTGAAAAAAAATTATATAAAATTGAGAATAATTCACAATTAATCAAATATTTTTAACACAGAACTCTATGAGAACCTCCTTTCAAATATCAGTACAAAACAATCAAAATAACCATTAGAATCCGAGATGTTCAGGTTTGCTAGGTTGGCATCTTTGGAAAAACTAAAAACTGTAGTCATAAAAGCATCTCCCGAAAGGTAAATTTAATGTTACTAAGCAAAGAATTTCAAAGAAAAACTTTAATTCAAAAAAATATTGACACTTTGAAATGTAAATGAAAGAGAGGACAAAAAATTTTTCCCAATTGTAAAAAAATATTAAACACTTCCAAATTAAAAACCAAATTTAAATTTAAAAACTGCAATTAAAATTGAAATAAAAAAGAAGAAATAGAATAAATAAAAATAGAAAAAAGCAAGAACATTATAATTAATATACAAATTTCTAAAAATTTAATAAAATTTAAAAATTGCCAGAGACTCTAAGAATAGTCAGGTTTTTGGTACATTTAAAAATAATGTAAAAATGCCTTAAATTTCAACTAGTGAATTTAGTTCTATTTAGAAAATTTTTTAAATAAAATGTATGTAAATCTTTTTTTAAAAAATAAGTATTTGAAAAAATGCAAGGGGAAATAAAAAAAAGGAATTAAAAGACAAATGTTAGAAACGTAAAAAAAAAGTAAAAACTTGTCACAGCATGGGCTTATCATGACAACTTAAAAATTGGAGGCTCCATGGCTAATGACAGCAAATCAAAGAAATTTAAAGAAAAATAAATCAAAATTAAACCTATACAGTACAAAGTCCGTAATCCGGACTCGGCAGGACTTCAGTGATTCCGGATTAGGGGTTTTTCCAGATTATAAATCATCAATTTAAATCTGGTAAGATGGCATGCAGAAATTATAAAATTAAAAATATGAAACCATAATTTATGAAATAAAGAGCAATTATGATCTAAGGGGTATCGAAATTTACAAAAAAAGCTTAATATTTATTTATTTACTTTATTGACCATTTATTTCAATGTAAGTTGTTTAAGTTGCTTCTTTATATATACATATACAGTAAGACCCCGCTTAACGCTGTTTCGGTTTAGCGCTCTTTTATTTCAACCTCGGGATTCCCTGAAATTGCTCGCAGCGTGAACTACGGGGATTCCTCGAAATTGTGCGTAGCAGTAGGTTTCCAAATAACATATCCGAAACTTTGTAGTTATGTTTTTTGTTTGGTGCGGTGAGGTGCTGTACGGAAGCATTTTTATCATTTGAAACATTTGTTGACATTATTGTAAGTATAAATTTACATAATACTATAACGATTAATACAGTGACAAATATTATGATCTTTAGTTTTTATCACGGGTGATAATAAAAAACAAGAAAAGAAAGCAACCAGAAAAAGCATTTCACTGGAAACTAAAAAGCAAGTGATTAAAGATTAGATTTGGTGAAGAGTCAATCTCAAATTAGTGCTGCATTGAATTTGGCAACTTCAACAATAAGGACAATTCTTAAGAATAAAGAAAAAATACTGTCATCGGCAACTGCAACTACATCAAGCTCTGCAACTAGAATTACCCGTTCTAGAAATAACATTATAGAGGAAGTGGAAAAACAACTGTCTATATGGACTGACAACGAAATTGAACGCAGTATGCCTTTAAGCCAATCTATCATAAAAGCCTTCTTGACAAAAAGGTAGAAAATTGGAAACACAGAATAGACTGAATGATCTGACTGGCTTAGAATTTTATTTGTTTTATAAGTATATTCATTTATATTGTTTTTATTTTTGTAAGAAATAAATGTTTGGTTTTTATTTTATTAAAAAACAAAACATTATTAAATTTAATACCTAACCCAATTTTCTATCCAATCTTCCCCTAACTCCATTATTTACATGTTAAGATAGCCTTGTTTAGCGCTGTTTCACATTACGCTCTACTTTGATGGAACGGATCCCCCGCGTTAAGCGGGGTCTTACTGTATATATATAAAAGGAATGTCTAGTGCAGTTCAAAAGGCCAGTTGCCTTTAAACGAGGAACGGAGGCCTTTATAAGCGACTGCCCGAAGCAACCCTTAACCACTCATGAAAATTCACTACATGAGTTCATTAAAGTGGTGATGCACAAATAGCTGGATATTTGTATATTAGAGAAAGTTGTAGGGTCTTCTAGTTTTGTGTAAAATAAGAAAATTAACATGGTAACAACAACAGTAAAAACTATAATTTTAGTAATACTTTATAAAATTTATGATGTTAAACTATAAGTTATAATAATGAAAATTTGTAATGTTTTTAAATTTTTAAAATTTTTTGTGATTATTCACAATAAGTAATTGTGCAAAATTTTTACATCTGTGATATTACATTCAAAGCTTTGCAAAGCCTTCCCTTGAACGAAAAAAAAAAAAATGTAATCGTGTGGACTCTAAAACGCAAAGACTTTAGAACTGAAAATTTTTAAAGGACTCTAAAAACTTATCAAAGTTTATATTTTGCAATTATGGAAATAATTATTTTGCTCCAAATTCAGGATTTTAATTTTTTCAATTTTTTTCTCTTTATGTGTGCTAATGCTTTCCTACTTTCTCTTTAATGCTTTTTTTCCCACCCTTCTGTCCCAACCTTTCTTTTGAAAGGGGGAATTATGTAAGAAAAATAAAGAATATGTAAAAGATTAAGTTAGCAACGTAAATTTCCTTTCTCAATTTTAAAAATAGTAACCTCTCTTTGCACTGCATCATTTCCAGAAAAATCTAATTCTGATGATGTAAATGGAACTGAAATCTAAAATTTAACCAATCACAATTTAGTTGTACTTTGTGCACCTATCTTGTATAAGTAGTTAATAGCTGCATAGTTTCTCTCTTTCGCCTCTTCGCCTGTGTGCTGACAGCTTGTCGCTCAGCCTCTGCTAGCTATTCGTCATTATGTAAAATGTAGTTGCATATCTAAAATTATGGGGCACATTTAGCATCCCTATTCTTCTAAAGTTATGCATTAAGAAATTCGTCATTCAAGAATAAATGTTTAAGTATCAAGCTGGTAGTACTTCTACAAATTCTATACGGTCATCCACTACGCCGTAATGTCCACTCATCTACACAGCAGTTTTCGGGCCATGTTTAAAAGTGAAATGTTTTCATCTTCCGCCAAAAAGTACAATTATTACATATATATATGCAAAAAACATCATTTTACATCATTAAAAATTTCAATGAATTATTTTACATTGCACCAGCAGTATGGAAGTTAATGAAATAATAAAATGATATGAAAAAACATATTGAGAGGATATTCCTTCTTCCAAATACATTATGAATTTGGGGGGTTGAAATCATTTTTACTACATGTATAACTAAAATATATTCATATTGCCTTATTTATTGGGGTTTAAAAATTGTGCTTTAGTTATGAGAAGTTATGATTTTTGTGTAGATGGAATTATTTCCCCTATAATTTGGTTCTCTTTTCTAGCTGATGCCTGCTTCACAAATAAGTGAAACTAACAATGTTGATATTGTTTCTGAAGAAAGCTCTTCTGAGAAAACTGAGTTACTTGCAGTAAGGTAAAAAATAATAATAATAATAATTAATTTATATGAATCAACATTGAAATTTTTAGTATATTCATTTTGTATTATTTATAAGATTTAATTCAAGGATTAAATTTTGTGAAACTTTATATAAATCATTGTGCATATAGAATTTAAAAAAAAAAAATTCTTTTAGGTTATTGGAAAATGGTTCTGGATGCTTGAAATTCATACCTGAATCAGAATTAGTAAAGTTGCTGCTCTTAGCAATAAGGTAAAGTATTGTTTTTATGTATGCTTTAGAACTACATTTTTCCATTTCAAATACACTGATTTTTGTATTATTTCTGTTGTGGCCTGTTAGGAATAAGTCATACCTCATGCAGTGCTGATAACTGATTGCATAAATGTTGAGTGTTTTATGATAGACTAAGACAAAATTGTTAATTACAGTAATTTTAGCTAAATGCATAACAAGGAAAAAAAGAAAACCATGTTAAAATTTACATATATAAAATTATGTTCAGAAGAAGTTTAAAACAAATATTGCTACAGTTTTAATTTATGAAATAACACAATTATGTAAAATTTCATATCATGTCAAGCATATTTTGTCTTCGTTAAGTTTTTGTTTAATTTACTAGCCCTTATATGGTGGAATTCCAAAGACTGTTTTCATATTAAATGAAATTAAGAGATCTGCTCTTAATTTTTATGAATATGTATCAATATAGATAAATTAACTAAAGGAAACTGGATGTGTTATGGCATAAGAGATAAACTACAAGAATACCATGCAATCTGTATGTATAATTGTGTGTATTATATATATACACACACAAAGAAATATAATAGGTTAAAAATTAGAAACAAAATTTCTAAACCATCCTGCACTATAGCTGAAGTACTGAAGTAAAATAAATTTAAAGCATCTAAAATAAATATTCAATTGAAATCAAAGCAAGGTAATTCTTCAACAATATTAATAATTATAGCCATGTTTAACCATGTATAAGATGTTTAACACAATATCTAAACAAATCAAAATTAAAATAAGAATTCATAGCAAAACAAACTCAAAAAATAAAAATGTGAAATGGAAAATATACAAAATTAAACAAATGTACAAATTATAAAAATTAATCTCCCTTTACTGAAACTCCAGTTCAGAGCTCATCAGGGGAAAATAAATTAAAGCTTCAGAAAAGTCGATTAATATGTTTCAGAAAACATGTTTTGTCCTCCTGGTTCATTTGAGATCAAAAACCGAAAAAAGATTCAATTAAATTCTCAATTAAGATGTTAAAATTTATATAAAACTAAAAAATCGAATCTCAAATATACCAGAATTTTCCCTACACGCTTCCGAAACACTTGGAAAAAAGAATAAAACATAACATTGAGCCAATTTGGCAAACTACTCAAAAAACCCACAAAACTTAACTTTATGCAAATTGACTATTCAAAAAAATTGGTCTAAAACATTATATGCAAAATCAAAATTCAAAAGCAATTGCAAATAAAGACCAAAACAAATAGACATTAAACCAAATTGTCATTTAAACAAAACTAAAAATTGGGTGGTCTCCATTTGTGCTAAACTATAAATATCAAGAAAAAAGAAAAACTTTTCATAGGAATTTCTATAAATAATAAAATCTAATATTAACCTTAAACAGCTAAAAACTGAAAACTTATTTGAAACAAAAATAGTAGAAAACACAACTCTCTGAATTCTTAAGACCTTCTTAAGGTAAACTAATTGAATTCTTAAAACGACCAAAGAAAGAAAGTAGAATTCAAAACTGCTCTGGAGAAGCAAAAATTTGTACTAATTATGCAATAAGGTTCAAAGTGTCCAATAACAGAACTAAGTATTTTAACATATGTTCAAAATGTCCTATCCTATTAAAGTATGTGTGCAACTTTGGGTGCAGTCTGTAAAAATTATTACCGACGTAGATGGTGATTGTTTATTCTAAAATGGTGGCATAAGAAATTTCTAAAAGATGCTATCCTCTATATAATCTTAAAACTCAAAAACAGAACTGGCTCAAAGTTGTAGAAGAGGAAAGATATAGGTTATAAAAGATAATCTTCATGTAATTGGGGTCTACTTTTTGCAGCCTTCCCTTTTTTGGGAGGTGCTCAGCCAATCAAAGCAGTATTAATGAAAGTCTTGCATGAGTGCTGCCAATGTATCTGAGGTGTAGCTAGAGGGGGGGGTCGGGGAGGACATTTGTCCCCGGGCGCAACTTCCACTGGGCACCAAACTGATGTTGTGAATTTTTGGAATAAAAGGTTTTCCACTCGTGGCAAACAGGAGGAGACATAAGATCTTCAGTTGGCCCCAGGTGCTACAAACCCTAGCATAAAATATGCTAACATTTGTTGCAGTGTTATTATGCAACTTTTTTAGACAATTTCAATTGGCAAAACAAAATATAATGCAATTGCACGAACACACATCTTATATCTGTCCTAATACATACAGAAGTTGATCAGTTCTGATTTGGAATATAAAGACAAAAATTTGCACATTATACAGTCAAAAGTCGTTAATTCGGACACCCATAATCCGGAATGATCTATAATCTGGACTTCAAAGCTAAAAACTTTCTGCGCATGCGCCGCGTTGGCACATGCGCACAGGCGTTTTACGCGTGCGCATAAGACCTTGACTACTGCGCATATGCGTGTGCGCAAGCGCAGAATACGTTTTCGCCTGCGCGTTTAATGTATAACGGACGGTGTAAGCTAAAATTATCTAATTATCTATTTCAGTTAATGTTAACAATTGCGTTGTTCCTTAATCTTCGAATTGGATCCCGCTTATTATTTTTTGCAGACTGTAAGAGCAATTTTATAAAAGTAAACTTGAACTTTCGATTATGTAAAATAGAATTTCCGATGCTGGAACTCCCAAAGGATCTACAAAACGAAAGTACGTTTCGATGTCCAACAAACAAAAAGTGGAATTGCTGCAAAAAATGGATAAAGACATGAAGAATGTGACAGAGAGGTTAGTGAAAACGAAAAAATTTCGATTGACAAGTTAGTCGGTATTCTCGGCACAGCAATTAACGGGACTTGAACAGCGGAACTTTGTAACTGAACAAGAAATTATGTCTGTTTATAGAATTAAAGAGAAAGTATTATCACATAAAATGAAGCAACTGAAACAGCTACATTGAAAGAAATGTGTAATAAAGTAAACAAATAAATATTAAGCTTTTTTTTTTTTTTTTTTTGTAAATTTTGATAACCTTTAGATCATAATTGTTCTTTATTTCATAAATTACGGTTTCATATTTTTAATTTTAGAATTTCTGCATGCCATCTTACGAGATTTAAACTGATGATCTATAATCCAGAAAAATCGATAATCCGGAATCGCCGAAGTCCCGACGAGTCCGGATTAACGACTTTTGACTGTATTTTAAAGAAAAAATAATAAAAGGTACACTTGATGCAAAACTCACGAGCAAATATTAACAATTATGCCACTCTGTTAGTAATAAGCATATAATGAAACAGCTACCTGGACAGATTTCACATTGCAGTGCAAAACTAGATTTGTAGTACTTTTAGTAGTCTTTGCATTTTTTCATTTTCTTATTTTCTAGATACAAAAGCAAAGAGAAAGGCAAAGAAAAGATTGCAAAATTTGATTCTAGTGATCTTTTGTATCCTTTATGTCTAAATATTAATTATTTCTGATATATTAACTGTTAAAGGAAAATGCATTCTATATAAAAATTTTGCAGCTATTTTGCACGATTTACGTATTTTATTTGTGATAAATAATAATTCTCTGCCCAAACATGTAAATTCTTAGCATGCTGCAAAGAAATTAAAAGTTTTCTTCCGAGTTCTAATGTTTTGCTTTTCATCTGTTGACTTTATTATTATCTATTTATTTACGTTTGAATAATTTTTGCATGGATTTTTAAGTATTATTATATCTGTTACTACATTAGTGAAAGTGTATGTGAAATTGTACTTTATATATATATATATATATATATTAACCCCTTAACGCATTTGCCCGTGTCTCACACGGGCGAAAGTTTCCGGCAAATTTGCACATGCCCATGTCTCACACGGGCGCCCTTGTATCTCGCGTTATTTTATTTCTAATGCTTGTCTGAGATCCGTTCCAGTAAAAATAAATAGGCTAGATTATAATTAAACTTATTTGACACGAAAGACCTATCTGGCTCAAAAACTTTTGCGCATAATGCTGCAAAAAGATTTGAAAGAATAGTAATAGGTAGGAACATTGCAGCAACCTTGCTAAAAAGTTACCAGGAGCTGTAGCTCCACGAAATGTTGTAACATAGTACTAAATAGACAATAAGAAATTTGCCTGGAAAAACTGTATAAGTGCGATAAAATTGCCAAATTTTAGTGCTGGAAGACTTGCTATTGCACGAAAAAAATTAATTAATCTGACCGTTGTGTAATGTGAAAAGTTAACTCGCATGAAAAAAAGATGGACGGATAAAATATATATATATATCGGGAAGTTACAAAAACATGGATTATAAATGTCAATATATAAAATGCCTATACATAAAAAATTAAAAATAAAATTGAAAATATATAATATGCCAATACATAAAAATTAAAATCAAAATTAAAAAAATATAAAAAGACACAAAAAGCATCAAAAACTAGCTACAAAAACAATAATTAAATAGTGGAAAAATGGTATATTAGCCCACTCGTACTCTCAGTTCGCTTTTCAAGGGAAAAAAAACTGATCTACGAAATAGGCTAAATACCATTACGCGTTTCGCCGAAACAGACCATTGAAGCTCTTGTTTAATGCGAAAAAACTTTATACAAAAGTATATTAGTGTTTCCGAAAAAATTCTTTTGGAATAAATCCTTTTTAGTAGCTCCACTGCTCTGTCTCTTTTCCCGACGCGTCCGCTGAAAAACACATTAAGGTGTCAAAGGCTATTATAATTCCGAGCGATGTAAAATAAAAATCAAAGTAGAAAAATAATAAATTAAAATAAATAGTGGTCTATTTATTATTATTATTATGGTCTATTTATTTATTATTAGTCAAAATACACATCAACGTACGGGCTGGTCCTTTACCTTAAAGACTTCGTAACTTTTATTAGAAGAAAGGTGCTGTAAACAGATAAAAATGTAATCGACATTGTAAGTAATTGGGAGGAAGTTGATGATGTCACTCAGTAAATAATGAGGAATCCTTTTTCCACACCACAGAACATTTAATAATTATGTGCAAAATGTAGATTAAATTGAGATATAACAATGCCTTAACACTTTGTCGTGCTAGTTGGACTCAAGAACAATTTTGCATCACTTTTTATGTTTAAACAGTCACTCAGTGTCTACTCGCACTCACAATCAGATTTTAAAGTCCATTATCATCACTTTCGGATGGTCAGACATCTCCTCTTCTCTACCTCGCTCTGTCTGCAGGTGTGCAGGCAATGAGTTTTCCTGGTCAGGTGATGCCCTCTGGTGGCTGCAGAACTTAATGATACCACATATATATAATGTAACATAAAAATATAAAGAAGCGAAGCTTTACTGGAAAAGTAAGAATACAGAGGCAAATCTATTTAACATTGAGTAAATGACTCTAAATTGATGAGATATCGCCAGCTAGCAATGGTTTTGGTCGACCAGATTTGGTGACAAATCGCCGAAAGTTGTCAAACTTGGCAACATTTTGGTTCAGTCCCTGTATAACTGTAATAGGTATTATAATTGATTAACTGTAACTTTATCTGGTGCTCATATGCTTTTCAGTAATTTCAAGAAGTGGAAGGCACTAGAAATCTCTCACCGGCTGGGAGAAAACTATATAAGACCAGTGAGAGCATCTGTTTCTGAATAATAATTGTTAGTTCAGAGCTGAATTTGGAGTCCTGAGATACATGCACTTTGCATTGCACTTGTTTAATTTTCATAGTAGTTTGAAGTATAAATATTGATTGTACTCTATGATACTATGAAGATTTGTATAAGTATTTTTATGGAAAGTTCCAGAATTTTGAAGGGTTTCTTTTGGCAGAATAAATTTTGTCAAGCTATCATGAATTCTATGTGCAGCTATCATTATTCTGTGAAACCATACACAGGCAACAGTATGCTATATGTGTGTGTTTTCGGCATGCACTGCTAAACTTTATAGTTTACTTTTGTGTGTGAAAAATGAGCCAAAAGCAAAAAAAAAATCTCATGAGTTTCTCTAAATATATATTTTTTTAATTTAATGGCTTTAAATCATCATTAAAATAACTAAAGTTTCAGCTGGATTTATATTTTCATCTACTTGGACAAGAACTGAGAACTAAAATTTTGGCCTGATTTATATTTTCATCAAAGATAACTAACTTGGACGAAAACTAAAATTTGATGTATATGTGTTTTTAATATATACTGATAAATATCCTTTCATGTGTTTTTTCATACTTAATCATATAAAGAAGGTGTGGGGAAAGTATTATTTGATTTTCTTCAGCAAATTGAGTTTCTTACATAAATACATCTTAAAAAGTGATGCACCAAGAAGGAGCAATCCAAATTGAGCAAGAACTGGTAGCTGTGATGTACTTGAATCAAAAATAAAATCTAACAACATCATGGGAATTGAATATCTTTATTCAGAAATACAATTATGAAAGGGGGAAATCTGCTACGCAGCACAAAAGCACTGCGTTCATTTGTCTCGAAAACCGCGACACAGCGCTTTTGCATTGCGAGTTTCAGCATGTTTTTGTTGCTCCGTGGGTGTGAACATAGTCTGACCTTACAGGTACTTTGTAACACGAGTGCATTCTAAAATAAGTAATTGCATCACGGTTTTCGAGACAAATGAACACATCGCTTTGGCGTCGTGTAGCAGTCAAACGGTTATAATGCTTTGGCCCACCTCTGACCCTGATACAAGCTGTTATCCAGCTGGGGATTGACTTGTAGATGTAGATTCTGCCAGATTGGTTGCCATACATATTCCAAATGGCAAGTTAGATTGACACGATCCAAGAATGATCAGAAATGCCTCAAATTGGTTGCCATACATATTCCAAATAGCAAGTTAGATTGGCGCGATCCAAGGATGGTCAGAAATGTCTACTCATTAGAGCCCAAAATGGGCTCATTATAGAAGAGATCAGCCAGTCATGCCAGCGGGGAAATTTCGGAGAAGCATGAAGATAAGCAACAAAAAGGTATACCATGTATGGTCAGGCATTATTCTATTAAAATGTAAGCTTAGGTGTCTGTGAAAGAAAAGACAACACTGGTGCATAGAATGTCATCAGCATACTGTAAGGATGTCATGGATAACAACCAAAGGGATTCGGCTATCAAATTGATTGGCACTCTATATCATAACTCCTGGTTGTCGGGCTGCATGGTAAATGACCATTCAGATGAGTATCCCATCTCCACACACATCTTCAGGCCTCAGTTCAAAATGGGACTCATTGCTGAAAATAATAGTTCTACTCCAGTCCATGAGATCCCACTTCAAATACACCTAGCACCACTACAAGCATGCCTGGTGGTGTGCAGTGGTAGGGGTAGTCAGTGCAATGGCCACCGTGACCTCAGCCCTGTTCACTGAGTTACCTATCGATTGTAACTGCAGTCACTGGTAATGCAGTTGCACATTGCCTAAGTACATATCGGGGCTGTGAGTGGTGATTGGATGATCATTCTATCATCACTGTCATTCATCCACTACCTTCTTGATGCTATCTGCGAGGCAGTGGTGCAGTCCATGTGGGTTGTCGAAACCACATTCACATGGAAATTAGCATTGGGATGTTCTCTATTTTATATGCCATCTGAATGCATAGTTGTAATGTGTTGGAGTTTCAGCTTGTCAGTCATTGGTTGCCAAAAAATTTATCATTTGCATGTTCTGTCGTAAGGTTGTAGGCTACACAATTTCACCCCATTCAGATAACTTCTTGGGGTGTTGCTTTTTATGTTATAGAGTGGTAATACTTATTGATGTTTGTTTGCTTTATCAAGTGATGCTATGTGTAATTTATGTTACAAAACTCGCTGGCCAGAAGATAATCCTTGCCAGTTGCTTCAGTAGCCTTTGAGTAACCAAAAAGCCAGCATATGATAATGCAGCTTCCTTATTAAGAATAATTGGGCATTATTTTTTCAAGAATGAATGAAGTGAAAACAGTAATATCCCATAAGTATGCCATGGTTATTTCAATTTTTTTTATCTTCTCATATATGAATCGTTTTGATTCCAAATCTGTAAGAATTTTAATGGAAGCTGTGCACTGATGCTTCAGAAACTGCATCATATCTGCAAATGTTGACATTTGGTTTGCAACTCAGATCATCACTCTTTTTAGTTTGTGATTGCTTCATACAGGTCAAGTAGTGATACTGCAGACATAGTATTGAAAATATAAACATGATTTTATTTGATAAATGCCAGTATGTAAGGTTGTAATAGGTATGTTTGTGACTTTTCCCTTCTTTAGAAAGAAATATTAATCTGTTGATGAAAACTACTTGTAGCCTTACTTCAAGTTTGCTATCATTTATAATAGACTTAGTATTGGACTATCAAAATGACTGATTTTATTTATAATAAAAGTATCATTGCTAATAGTTCTAGTGTTAAATTCAGTTTGTGGGTATTTTAAATTGGTATAATTTTGCTAGTACAAATTTAATATGTTAAACAAATTTTAATTTTAATTTAGACACTGTGTTGGGAATTACTTCTTGCTATTTCAAAGTGCTAGCTACTTTATTTCAGTCTAATAAAGTAATTTACAAAGTATGTCTGATTAAGCCCAGTCGTTAGATGTTATAAATGTGTAAATTAAAAATGTGTTAATTGTTGTATTTAATTTTAAATTCATTAATTGATTGGTTGTTTGTATTTTCTTTAATTTGTTAGAAGTATTATATTTTCTGCATCTTTTAGTGATATATTTTTGATGAAATGTTTAAAGAAATTGAATCTGGAAGAAACATTGGTAAGTATTAGTTTTATTAGTATTGTACAAAGTCTGAGATATGGAATTATCAGAACTTCAAAATTTCTAGATTGTAGATCATTTATTTAAATCTAGTAAGATGATATGTAGAAATTATAAAAAAGTAATACATGGCTTTATGTGAAATAATGAAGCATTTTTATAAAATTAATGGTATCAAAATTTACAAAATATAGCACTTTTTTTAATTAAACATTTCTTTCAATACAAGTTGCTTAAGTAATTTCTCTCTCTCTCTTTTTTTTATTAGTCCAAAGGGGTGGCTTTGTCCTTGAGGGACTATTGTTTTCATTTTGCGATTTTGCGTTGAATCACTATAAATGTCCGTTTCACTTTTCAAACTGTTGCCACCAAATGTTAGAGTCCTGCATTATATTTGAAGAAATTAAATAATGAAAAATCTGCATAAATGTATGCCTATTTCTCGCATTGCAATAAAACACCGGTACATAGAACCATCGAATTTTGAATGACATAATCTTCCTACGAATATGGGCATGTGGAAGACCAAATTTAAAATTTGGAATTTGTTTTATTATCGATTCCCTATTTTGTAAAACTTTAACGAATTTTTGATTAACAAACTCAAGGATTTCGAAGCGAGCCATGGCAACATTGTACAGAAAAAACATTTTTATCTCCAGCGCGGGAGACTGTGTGTCGGAAATTCTAAAGATATGCTTATTTTAAAATTAATTTGCAATATTGCTGTTGAACTGAATTTTATGGTTTAAGTGCGAAGAACGTGATATTTAATAAATAAATGTAACACACAAAACGTTAAAGCAATGCCCCTTTGGACGTAATTTAAAATCTGAAATATTTCAGATTTTTTTTTTTTTTTTTTTTTTTTTTTGTGTGTGTGTGTGTGTGTGTGTGCGTGTATGTGTTTTTTTTAATTGTTTACAAAAACAAAATGTCTTTGTTAGTCACAAAATTTCATTATTCAAGGCCTATAATCACTATCTAGAGAACTACCATTAAATAGTTCATTGAAGTCTTTTCATTCTCAACAGCATTACTTTCTCCATTATCAATGGCAATATTTTGTGGATTTAAAAACCATGCTACCGACTTCACCATCCATAAACTGGTTAATGAATGGGATATTGTTATCGCAATGAAGATTTGAGTTGTATCATCTTCATTTAGCAATTTAGACTTTCTTTCGTGTATTTTATTAATTGGAAAGTATTGTTTTTCTTTTCCACTTTTTTGTTTCGCAATTTTGAGCACCAAGTGTGACCAGTTAGTTTTGGCTTCTTTCATCTATGTATAATAAATTTTTCACCTAGTTATAGTCTAGGGTATACACTGACTGAGTGAACTCACTACTTTGGCAGTAGCACTCTGGGAAGCAAACACACAAGCCTGGTGGTTTCAGAACCCTGCGGGAAGATCGTTCAATGCAGTTAGACCAAGAGGGTTGGTGTTAAGAAACCAAACTAGAGGTATGGGTATCAGTGCACCAGCTAGTCTGTTGTCCACCAAATTCTGTGTTATTCCCATAAGGTGGGTCATTAATTGATTGCTTAGCATTTATAGCACATTGTACTGGCAGGGGCATTATCGATTACCAGTCAAATTTGTCAGGCTTAAATTACAGCCACACCCATTCATGAAAACAAGAACTGGAAGTGGTGGCCCAGCAGGCTTGTTTAGTTTGATTGAGTTAATAATGAAAACCTAAAAAATCTGTTGCTGATAAGTATGGGACTGGCAGCAGTAAACAGAGAATTTAATATCACATATTGGTGGCTTTTGGGACATGTCTCCCACCTCCTGTCTAATGCGGAGGACTAAGGGAAATGGAGCAGGAAGTGTAGTTGCCTTGTCTATGCAGTGGAACACAATATTTATTCTAACTTGGTCATAGTTTTCTCCCCATCTTTTTTACTAAAATATATTTTTACGATTTGGAATATGCCAAGAGATGAACAAACAGCTATCTTGTTTCTTCAAGAAGGAAGTGTTCTGCACTGAAAGAAGGGGGAAGGAGGTGTTTTGTTTGAATAAGTTTGTTATGAAATTAAAGTATAATTGTAGGCCAAAATGGTGATATTTTCTGGGTTTAAAACTATGCTACTGATTTTTTCATTCATTATTTATAATAAATATTAATTTATAGAGACTGATGCATTATCATTGCAGTGGAAGACTTCAGTTAATATCATCTTTGTCTAGCACTTCTTCTCAGGTTTTGTACATATTCTACACATAATTCTGCTTTTCATATGTGATATCTTAAAGCTTTCAAATTCATAGCAATCATCATCGTAAAATATGGTAGCTGGCTACAAATTATACTAAGTATTTTTTTAAATATCTGCAGATTAATTCTGTAATGACTTTACTGTTGTTCACATTGCAGATTTTATATGAAAATATTTCAAAAATTCTTGGTTAGTCTTAATGTCTGCATTAGTTTTTGTAAGGCTACTTTATATTTACATTTCAGCATATGCAAAATTTCAATATCTATTGCCTGATTGATTCATGTACCATTTCAAGGACAGAATAAAATAAAGACATTAACTAAAATTTTAATGTTGATAAGCTAACAGTAATTATAATAGACTGAACAAAATAATATGCTGGATCAAATCACATAGTTAAGGAAGAGTGCAATTTGCAATGGTAGTTGAGTTTAAGTGCATTAAAATCTAATTTTTTCTTCCTTTTTCGCTGCAATGCCAACAAAAGGTTAGTGTGTGCAACATTCCAAATAAGCATGCCTGTTCCAGCTTTGCTTATTGTGTACAAGGTGGGAAAATCCTGCCCTTCCCCATACTCAAAGGTCAAAGATGAAAATGTGGTTCACTAGCCAGCAGATGTTTAAAAGCAAAACAACTGGCAAACATGTTTAACAACGTGTTTAAAAGCAAAACTACAAAATGATTCTATGGTATCATGAATAGTAATGTTTCTTGGCAAAAGAAATATCAGCTAATTAGGAGAAAAACACATTAAGATGCTTTTACTTGAGTATCGTATTCTCCATTCTTGTACTGTGTGAGAAAAAGAAATTTCCTCCAAAAGAGAAGTTTTACGCGAAATCCAGGTAATAAATTCCATTAGGTGTTCGGATTTCAGAATTTGTACTATATAGATGAAAACTGCAACAACTATTTTGCATTTGCCATCATGGCCATTCTTTAATAATTTATTTTCCATTAATATTATGCTCTAAACTACTATTTCTATTATTTTACAGATCACTTTAGAATTGCTTCTCTCCTTTTTGAAGGGTGCAGCTCAAGTCTCCAAAAGTTTCAGTGATCTGCCATCTGATATTCAGGTAAAAGTCAAGTAAATAATATAAACATGTGAATTTCTTCTAGATTTATTTTTGCCCTGAATATAAGTTCTCAGTGGGTAAAAATTAAACATAGTGGTTACAGAAAAACACACCAGATCCAGATATGAAAACTAAAATTGAAAAAAGGTTGTTTTTAAAAGATCTTGTTAAAATCTTAAATGTTAATTTGCTTTTTGAGCATGTTTTTTTAATATGAATACATATTTTATTTTAGAAATTTATGGAGCATATTGCATTTTATTAATCAATCTCTTACATTTAGTGTTTACATGTGTTTTTATTATTATTATTATTATTATTATTATTATTATTATATTTATATTGTTACGAAATGCCAGCTGCAAGTAAGATAGCTTCCCTGCAAGGCAGGTGTAAGGTTGCCAGAAAATGGCAAGGGAAAGCATGGTTGCCATGTTTGGAAAGAAATTAGCAATATGACATAAATGGATGGAGAAACTTCTAGAATAAATTCTTACCAGTCTGGACCAATATATTCTCGAAGGCAACCCAAAAGCTATATAAACCTTGCTTGCACATGGACTCAGTCAGTCAGTGTTGAGAGAGTCTCGTAGTGCATCGTCAGGTTTTATATTAGCGTGTGTTGAGCTTCAAGAATGACCGAACTGTGTCAGGAGCTGTACTCTGGTGTATCGTTGAGTGCATCGTGAGTGTGAGCGTAGAGAGTATTAAGAGTATGTTGAGTTGAGTATGAACAAGCGAACAGAGTCGAGAGCTAGGCTCTGGTGCTTTGCTGTGAAGCTATCTTCACCGTTATAGTCTGGAGTCTCGAGAGTATGTAGAGTTCCAAGAACAATCGAACCAAGTCGGGAGCTGTACTCTGGGGCTTTGCCATGAAGCTGTCATCAACCTGATAGCCTGGAGGCTGTGTTGCTGATTGTTTCAGCATGTTTGTAGTAGTTTTTCAGTACTGCGTGATTTTGAAGCTGTCCTGTGTAATACTGGCTTGATAAATTGTGTGTGTCTTCATCAAGTGTTGTCGTCAATCACTCCAAATCAATAAACCTGTACAAAAACGCAACATCTGGTGTCGGAAGTGGGATTTGCAAGTGAATGCCAGTGACAGGACAAAGCCATGCCAGAAGAAATGAAGTTCATTGACTTTTTAGCAACTGTAAAAGCCAGATTGAAAGAGATGAAAGAAGAATAAAAGCCAGCCAAGAAAAGCTTCTAGACCAACTCCAGCAGATGAAAGTGAAGCTTAGAGAAGAAACTGGAGCCATAAAAGAAGATGTGGAAATGACTGAAGTGGCATCTGAAGAATCAAAGGATGAAGAAATAAGGAAGTAGCCGGTGAAGTGTCCGAAAAACATCGAGAAATAATGGATAAAACATCTAACAGGATTGAAGAACTAGAACAAAAAGATGAAGAAAAAGAAAGCAAAGAAGCTTTTGATTGTCAAATGCCTGAAGTAGAAGTGGAAGAAAGTGAAAATTGCTACTGTTATGTTTATAGTAAAACAACATAATTCTGTTTATAAAGGATTGGATTCTGTTCAAAACTGTAATGCAAACATCAGAACTGGCTTTCAGGAAATAGAGGTAAATAAGCAGTTACCAACTGTTAAAAGTACTGAGGTGAACTGTAAACATGAAGCAAATAAACTATAGAGTGGTGAACAAACTGTTTCAGATCTTACTGTGAATGAAAAATCTGAAAGGATTGAATAAGACTGTGAAATGCAAAACAGAAATACATCTGAGAACTGCACTGAAAGAGTATTTGATCCGGTATAACTTAATGAAAAGCCCGAGATCGAAATCCTTTCTGAACTTTTATATAATTTAAAATTGTTACATAGTTAATTTGTGTATATAACTTTTATATAGTGTAAATATTTGTTTCTTATGTTATTTGTTTGTTTTATTACGTTTTGTTTGTATCGCATTTGGCTTCTGACCAAGGATTGTACTGCCTGGGACATGCAGTTCTTGGGAGGGGGCAGTGTTATGAAATGTCCAGCTGCGGTATGATAGCTTCCCCGCAAAGTAGGTTTAAGGTAGCCAGAAAATGGCAAGGGAAGGCGTGGATGCCATATTTGGCGACAAAATTGGCGATATGCCGTAGACAGATGGAGAACCTTCTAGAACACTTCTTACTGGTTTGGACCGGAATGTTCTCGAAGGCAGCCCAGAAGCTGTATAACCTGCCTGCATGCGGAGTCAGTCAGTGTCTCGTCTAGCGAGTTGATTGTCAGTCTAGTGTCGAGAAATTGTATCACAGGTTAGTGCATCATCGAGTTTTATCTTAGAATGTGTTGAGCTCCGGGAATGACCAAACTCAGTCAAACTGTACGCTAATGTATCGTCGAGTGCATCGTGAGTTGTAGCGTGGAGTACGTTGAGTTCCAAGAACAACCGAACAGAGTCGGGAGCTGTATTTTGGTGCTTTGCCGTGAAGCTGTCTTCACTGAAGGCTGGAATCTTGAGAGTACATAAAGTTCCTAGTAAAACCAAACCGAGTCAGGAGCTGTACTCTGGGGCTTTGCCTTGAAGCTGTCTTCACCGCTATAGCGTGATAGCCTGAAGGCTATGTTGCTGAGTGTTTCAGCATGTTTGTAGCAATTTTTCGATGACTGTAAATGTGATTTTGGAGCTGTCCGAGTAATAATGGCTAAATAAATTGTGTTTGATTCTTCATCAAGTGTTGTCATCAATCATTCCAAATCCATGAACCTGTACAAAAACGCAACTATATTATTCTGCAAGAAAAAAATATTTTATGATTTTATTATTCTACATATCTCGGCTTTAACCCCACATCATTGTGTTAGATTTGTTATGTAATTTCATTTAAAGGTTTTTGCATTTATTAAAATATCTATTATGTTTTCTTTTTAAATTCATTATTCTAGTATTTAATATTTTAGCAAATCTATGCAACTGTTCTTTTCAGTGTTGTAAAGCATTTATAGAAATTATTTTTCTTTAATTGTGCAATTTACAAATACATAAAATGTTTGATATTTTATCTTAGATTTTCAACTGGATTTGCTTAGTTATACAGTCACACATGGAAGCTTTGCTGTTTACAAAAGACAAGAAGACAGCAAAATTATTAAAGGAACTTGACAGTTGTTTGTCAGAAAAGGTATGCATTTATGTTATCAGTGTTGATAAAAACGAATTAACACTGCATTTATGTTATCAGTGTTGATAAAAATGAATTTTTTTACAAAACATTTCAAATTTTTTTTTTATTATTATTATTTTTAATTTTTTTTATTTATTTATTTTTAATTTTATTTATTTTTTTATTTTATGAGTTTAGCTTGTAAACACAAAACTAAACAAATTCAAATGAAAAATATAACTAAAATGAAAATATAAAGATAAGATGACAGTAATAGTATTGCAAAGAAATGGTATATATATTCCAGACACTTTTTTTTTTTTTTTGTATTAATCATACTGCTGCAAAATTTTCAAATATTTGCTGAAATAAATAATATAAGTTATATAGTTGGATTCAGAGTCCCCAAATTCTCATTGTGTTACAAAGTCATAGATTCAGAATTGTCAGGACTTCAGCGATTCTGAATTTTAAATCATTTGTTAAAATCTAATAAGATGACATGCAGAATGTATAAAATTAAAAACATGAAATAATGAAGCATTTTTTTGACTGTAAATTAATCAAAATTTACAAAAGAGCTCAATTATTTATGTGTTTGTTTCATTAACATGTTGACATTGGCCTGACTCACCGGTGAGTCATACTTGTCTGTTCCGTGGGGCGGAATGACGGACCTGTGTGTAATGCTTGATTGTTCAGTGGGCTAGCATGACTAACCGATGGGTCAAGCTTGTATATCAAAAAATGCTAAAATAGGCTTGTATATAAAAAAATACAATTGCTATATTATAAAATATATAATTTTATAATGGCCACTATAGAAGCCAAGTACTGAACATACTTTAGCTCTGCAGATCCTGCTACAGCTCCAGAATAAGAAACTCTTTTGACATAATCAAGTTCAGACTTTAATTTTGATAAAATAGCTGTAATAATAGCATCCAAAAAATAATAAGCTGTGTGAAATTTGTTAGGGATGAGCACGAGTTTCTGTTAACTGAACTTAATTTCTTCCAAATCTAGTTCTTTCTCTTTTCCCTTTGTTATGTCAATAAAAGAAAGCCAGTATTAGGAACATCCCACTCCAACACAATATGTCCTGGGACTTTACTTATTGTTTAGGTCAGATAGAAAAATATTAACTCCCTTCCACAACTACTCAGTGGCTGAAAGTGTAGGTTTTCAGATCTTTCTAGAGTTTTTAACATAAACATAAAAAATTAACATTTTAGTACCACTGTCTCTTTATTTATTTATACATGTATCCAGTGGGTCATAAAAAAAGGGCGATCCCTCCCCCCCCAACTTTATGGTTCTATTTAAAAAAAGAGTGATAAATGAGATGAGAAATTATTCTGTGCAGCAAAATTAATGAAATCCAAGCAAAAGCTTTTAAAGCACTTTGAACATAATTTGCATGTGAGTCTATCAACCACAATGTCACATCTTCGCACAGTGTATGAAACACTGAATTCATATGCAAGTGCTAGTATAGCATTCAGAATATTACTGCTACTACTAATAATAGTACAGTCAAAAGTCGTTAATTCGGACACCCATAATCCGGAATGATCTATAATCCGGACCTCAAAGCTAAAAACGTTCTGCGCATGCGCCACGTTGACACATGCGCATAGGCGTTCACGCGTGCGCGTAAGACCTTTTACGTCTGCGCATATGCTTGTGCGCAAGTGCAGAATACGTTTCGCGTGCGCGTTTTATGTATAACGGACGTTATAAGCTAAAAATTATCTAATTATCTATTTCAGTTAATGTTGATGATTGCGTTGTTCCTTAATTTTCGAATTGGATCCGGCTTATTATTTTTTGCAGACTGCAAGAGCAATACTATAAAAGTAAACTTGAACTTTCGATTATGTCAAAAAGAATTTCCGATTCTGGAGCTCCCAAAGGATCGTACAAAACGAAAGTATGTTTCGATGTCCATCAAACAAAAAGTGGAATTGCTGCAAAAAATGGATAAAGACATGAAGAATGTAACAGATAGGTTAATGAAAACAAAAAAAAATTCGATTGACAAGTTAGTCGGTATTCTCGGCACAGCAATTAACGGGACTTGAACAGCGGAACTTTGTAACTGAACAAGAAATTATGTCTGTTTATACGAGGGCTATCCAGAAAGTAGATTACGTTTTGGAATAAAAAAATAAACAAAGTATAGGAAACAAATTTTATTATATACAGATGAAAGCCACACTCAAATACTACTTTTCTACATAGTCACCATACAAATTAAGGCATTTATCGTAGCGATGTACGAGCTTGGAAATTCCTTCGTCGAAAAATTCGGCCGCCTGCGCCTTCAACCACTTCGTTACCTCTTCTTGCAGCTGTGCGTCGTCATCAAAACGCTGCATAGCCAGCCACTTCTTCATTGCTGGGAATAGTGGAAGTCGCTCGGTGCCAGGTCGGGGACTGTACGGCGGATGAGGAAACAACTCCCACTTAAAAGATTCAAGAACTTTACGAGTGACATTTGCCGTGTGGGGCCGGGCGTTGTCGTGAATCAACAAGATCTTAGAGCTCAACATTCCTCTGCGCTTGTTTTGAATTGCTCTTCTGAGTTTTTTGGAGAGTTTGGCAATACCTTTGAGAGTTTATTGTAGTGCCTCTTTCCAGGAAGTCCACCAAAATTACACCTTTTCTGTCCCAAAAAACAGTCGCCATCATCTTCCTTGCCGACATTGTTTGCATGCATTTCTTGGGTTTTTGGGGAGAACTTGTGTGCCCCCACTGCATTGATTGCAATTTCGTTTCACAGTTCACATGTTTCCCCCATGTTTCGTCACCAGTAACGATGCAATCGAGTAAAGAGTCACCATCCTTATGGTAAGCGTCCAAAAAGTTCAACGCTGCAGCCATTCGCTGATTTTTGTGGTCCTCTGTCAAGATTTTTGGAATCCATCTTGCACAAAACTTGCGGTAACCAAGCTTTTCGCTGATGATTTCGTGCAACAAACTTCGCGAAATTTGTGGAAAACTCAAAGAAAGTTCCGTTATTGTGAAATTTCGATTTTCACGGACTTTAGCATCGACTTTTTCGAGAAGTTCGGCGGTCACTATGCTGGGTCTCCCACTTCGATCTTCGTCGTGAACATTGGTTCGGCCATTTTGAAATCTTATGACCCACTGACGCACTCCACCTTCAGTGATAATGTTGTCCCCATACACTTCACGAAGCTGCCGATAGATTTCTATCGGTTTACAGTTTTTTGCAGTCAGAAACCTTATTACTGAGCGCAGCTCGCGGGATTTTCAATTAACGCAGACATTTCAAACCGTCACAGTATCTGAACGGAGCACAGCACGAACCTCTCACTAGCACGGCTAGATGCAGAGTGAGCTGCGCAACGCTCTGACCCCAAGATGGCCGCGCTAGCCCCGCCCTTAGCGGACACAGACGGAAACGTAATCTACTTCCTGGATGGCCCTCGTAGAATTAAAGAGAAAGTATTATCACATAAAACGAAGCAACTTAAACAACTTACATTTAAAGAAATGTTTAATAAAGTAAACAAATAAATATTAAGCTTTTTTTTTCTTTTCTTTTTTTTTTTTTTTTTTTTTTTTTGTTTTTTTTTGATTTTTACCCTTTAGATCATAATTGTTCTTTATTTCATAAATTACGGTTTCGTATTTTTAATTTTAGAATTTCTGCATGCCATCTTACGAGATTTAAACTGATGATCTATAATCCGGAAAAATCGATAATCCGGAATCGCCGAAGTCCCGACGAGTCCGGATTAACGACTTTTGACTGTAATAACAAATATTTGCAATTACTGTGTCACAAGATCATGAGTCACCAGCAGAAAAAGAGTGATAAATGAGATGAGAAATGATTCCCAGTCTCACTTGCTGACAAGAACACTAAAATCAGGCACGCAAATATATGAATTTATCTGAAGACTAGTGACGTAATAAAGATGAATCCAGATATTGTTTCCAAGATTTAATAGGACAAGTGATTTATAAATGACAAAGTCATTTGAAAGTCTTGATATTAAAGAAAATTGGATACCTCTTTACACTTGTTGCATTTGTCAGAGATATTATTTGTGTTGGTATACTTTCTGATATCATAATGTTCAGTTGCACCAGGTATTTGAAGGAGTATATTTTTAACAGAAATTAAACTGTTAGGTATGTCCATGTACTGGTGCAATAAGAGAATCATTCAAGTACACGACAGTGCTTGTTTATACTGGACTGAATTATTGGAAAAATACAACTATGAAAAGGAGATGTCTAGTGTGGATTGCACAACTTGATCTCCTAATTTTTTTGAGCAAATGTGTTCATGACTCTAGAGCACCACCAAACAACAAAGGAAAGTTAGTTAATCACTGTAAAATATAATATGTTGTTGGGTTGATTGGTTAATAGCTTTTAATGTCTTTTCTTGTTGATTAAATTTTTTATGATAATAGTTAGAAACAAATTATTTTATTAATTATTTATTATCAAAAGTAAAGTATTTTGCTGCTTTATTAAATTTAAAATATTTTAATTCACACATACTCTTCATTAATAAGCAATGTTAACTTTTCTCCCTTCTTTTCTTTTTAGATGGAAGAATACGAAGATTTTGAGAAAATACAGCATTATTTTTGCATACTGAAAAAGAAGCAGAACATATTGCCAACTAAATTTGCTACTGGAAAATACTGTATAGAAACATTAGATGTATAAATTATATTTTGTAAATTATTTTATTAAAAATATTGTTTAAACAATATTTTTACAGTTGGTTGAAAAAGTCTCTAGGTATTAAAGGGGATATTATTTCGAAACAATAATTAAACATTGTTAAAATATATAATGAAACCTCAATTTCTTATATGTATCTGCATTTGAAGTTATAAAATATATTTGAAATAGCTGGAATTCAAAATATCCATCTATTTAATTTGTAAATCCAGTACTTTTTACATTTGTTGGTCCTTGAAAATGCTGTCTTTAAATGTTAAAAAACCTATTGTAGTGTCTTATTGAAATATAACTGATAATTTTATTAAATTTTGAGATTTCACAAAATTGCTACAAAAACTGACAAGTACATAATTTTACATCTATTGGGTTGATGCAAAAGTTCATCCCATTTTTTGGAGATTCAAATTATAAATGGATTTGACACCGTATATATAGGTAACATGCTTGTAAGAGTAAGTAATTCAGTAAAAAAATTTCAAATGGTTTAAATTGACAAAAGATGAACAAAGGTAATATTTCAACCCTAACATTATGAAACATTCGTCAAGAGTACAGGTAGTATGTGTTTAACGATAGTACATATCGTCTTCTGAGCAGATTCTGGATCTAACCATGTTGAACGCCTCCCATGCAACTGTTGAGGAATTAGTGAAAATTATATCCATACTCAGAACAGTTTAACGACAAATGCACGTACTTGGGTTCATAACAAGGCTGGATCAGTGGGTTCTTTGAAAAGTGAAAGGGGGTAAAAACCAATACCTGTCTTTCTTGTTCCAAAAATGAACCATTTTTTGAACGAATTATGATGAGCGTTGAGAAATTGATACTTTAAGGTAATGTCAGATGTCAAAAGACTGCATGTTATGCAGCAGAGCCTACTTATCCCTTGTCAAGAAAAGGACTACATGTTGACAAGATTAAGTGTATGGGTAAATAATCTACCGAGATTACCTCCCATGTAACCGAAGTGAATGCTGATCGTTCTGCCAGCCGTTATAAAAACTGAGGCAGAAACTTTTATGCAAGTGACCAGCACTTGTCAATCATCTTTCAGCATGAAAGTTCCAAACCTCATTCAGCTTTTAATCACAGAGAAAACTACTTGACTTTGGTTAATATGTTTTACCTTATTCCCAGGCTTTGCTTCTTCGGGTTACCATCTTTTTTGAATGTTAGAATTTATTAACCTTTCAAACTTGAATGATGTGCAAGATTTGAAAACAGCATTATAAGATTTAGTTTATTCTAAATCATAGGATTTTTATTGAGGAGGGTTAATCTACTACAAAGCAAATAGTGAGAGTTCGTACTAAATATTGGCAATTACGTGAATATTTATCTACACTTTCTTTTTTACCTAAAAAAGGGACGAATTTAAAATTCCATGCATTTTATTGTTACTATAGATGCCATTTTAAGTAAAATATTTAAATTTATAGAAATATGACAGATTTTGTAAAGAATATTATGTAGAGCAGTTTTTCTTTCAGATTGCATAATTGATTATAGAAAAGCCTCCCAGGACTATTTGACTTGCAAAAGAGAGATTTATTGAGTTATTTTATGAGTATAATTGACTCAGATTCATACTATACTTAAGAATAATCTCATTCACTTTCACTCATTTTATACTTGGGAATAATCTCATGCTAATGCAAACCCTGTCACATAGCAGCTGACACTACAGCTAGATAACATGTGTATATTTTATATAAGTTATATTTTGCCATTTTTGTAAAAAATTTTGAATGACATTTATGGAGATTGTCCATATTTGACATTTTTCTTCTTAGTATTCATTCAATAACCTGTAAAAAATACATGTCACATCGTTTACCCTTTTCATGTATTGCAGATCCCCAATCATGTAAATAAAGTAAAGGAATAAAATGATTCTCTTTGTGAAAGACATTATTCCTGACCCACTGTGTAGCACAAATTTTTAGGGAAAAAGCTATTACAGAAAGTGGCTACTGGATTCTGAAAATATTTCTTCTCTTAGTTTCATTTGTTTCTTAGTGTTGGCTAAAACAAGGTTTTCACTGAAAGAGAAAATAAGTAATTTTGTGAATGAATTCGGAACTGAAGTCATTTCAAGAGAAATAACACAAAATTTGTGAAAAACTAGTGCTAAAAGTGTTACTTTAATATGGAAAAGCATTTAAATATAACATAAAACTGCAAGTCATATATATCTCACAAAAGTTGTGTTATTTTATTGGCACTGCAAATAACAGCAATGCAGTGCCAAAAAAATAACACAGCATTTCCAGCAGTAACTTCATACCACAATCATTTCATTAAAATAACACAGCATTTGCAGCAGTACCTTCATGCCACAATCATCTCATCTATGATATGTATCAGCTGATATCCTTGCTTTGGAAAGTGAAAGAATCATCTCTGAAAGACTTTTGGAAACTTTTGTGAAATGAGAACTCTCTTATAATCTAATTTAAAAGGACTATGTAGATGTTGTATCTGTTAGTGCAGTTGGAAATGCAATATTTTCACTTTCATTGATTAAACAATGATGCTATGAGCCGATTTGTGTACTATAATGTTATAACTGGACCTATAAGCACTAAAAAACTATAAAATGATTTCTTGTGGCCCATTGGTTCAGTTATAACATACATGCGCATAGGCGTTTATGCGTGCGCGCAAGACCTTTACGACTGCGCAGAATACGTTTTCGCGTGCACGTTTAATGTATAACGGACGGTATAAGTTAAAATTATCTAATTATCTATTTCAGTTAATGTTGATGATTGTGTTGTTCCTTAATCTTCGAATTGGATCCGGCTTATTATTTTTTGCAGACTGTAAGAGCAATTTTATAAAAGTAAGCTTGAACTTTCGATTATGTCAAATAGAATTTCCGATGCTGGAGCTTCCAAAAGATGTCCATCAAACAAAAAGTGGAATTGCTACAAAAAATGGATAAAGGCATATCCCTTGTTTACCTAACGGTTCCAAAATATGCTTATCAATTTCACGCTGCTCTGCGCGGGGTGGGGGAACGTCGTGGCGCGCAATGACCTGGAAGTTGATCTGTCAGCACTATCGTTATCTTCAGGGCAGATGTTATTATTTTATTCGGCTTATAATTCCTTACTAAATGTAGTATTTCATGTCGATGTTCTCTGTCTTTGATATGATTTAAATCAAATTCCTCGTCATTATAAATATCACGAATACAAATCAAATAGTTTTCTGGTTGCAATTTTCTAATTTCGGCTATGCGTAAGGTATGCTTTATGCATGCGCGCGTTGAAAGAAATGTTTAATAAAGTAAACAAATAAATATTAAGATTCTTTTTTTGTAAATTTTGATACCCTTTAGATCATAATTGTTCATTATTTTATAAATTACGGTATTTTAATTTTATAATTTCATTGCCATCTTACCAGTTTTAAACGGATGATCTATAATCCGGAATCGCCGAAGTCCCGACGAGTCCGGATTAAAGACTTTTGACTGTATTTCAAGTTTTCATTAGCTCTCAGAATTTACCCTACCTGATTAAATTAAACATGAGAACAACATCTCTTCTTAATTGATGCAACCAGTGACAAAAAGTAATATAAAAAAGGTAGCTGAGATCTTGTTTTCATCCAAAATATTGCATCTGATATGCTTGGTACATATCTTGTATACTATTGCAGAGAAAGTTTGTGAATTGTTCCCAGACATTGCTAATTTTATGTCAAATTTTTTTAATTTCCTGTAGATACAATGCTCTTGCAAATCCAATTCTAACGAAGATACATTCATGTGCAGCAGAGATTGTCAACAATTTTGATGAAGAGAATATTGCTTCATTAAAAATGCTCAGGAGTTACCCGGCCATTCATAAAATCTGATTTTAATTAATGATATTCATTGCTATCGTTTTTGATGTTTTGTTTTTTAACTTCATCCAACATATGGTTTTACATTTTAAAAATTTTCTACTATTTTTCGTATATTTCTGAATAAGAGAGTTCCGAGAGTGTGTTTTTTTGGTCAAAATTTCAAAACCTATTTCTAAGCCAAAATAAAAAGTTCCTGTAATGTTCAAACATGTCGCCTTGAGGGTGAAAATGTTGCCACGCAAGTAAAATGAGTACAATATTTCCCAATGAAATCGCTGTAGTCTGAAGCTAGGGCATGTTTTCCATTCTTTGTGTTTGTATACGCTCTGTGTTATTTGTTCTAGAAACCAGCAATATAAACAATTTTGAAAATAAAACAACTCATTTCATTAATTTTTTTTTTTTTTTTTTTTTTTTTTTTCCAGTAGCTTCCCCATAATGTAGTTTATGAAAAAATTTCTAAAAATCCTCTACTTCTACACCGAAATATACAGTATTTAGCTGTTGGCTTTGCCTCTATATAGAAGATTGATCTGTTTATTCATCTCCTTTGAAATCAAGGTATTCTGTAACTTCATTACCAGCATAAGGTTAGAACTTTGCTTATTCTCTCATAGACTACTTTGACTAATTTTAGGCATGTTTTTCCCCCTAATTTATCATTTAGATTCTCTTAAATTCACACATTCCATTTCATACTGCTTTACATAAGATATTCTCTTTAAAAAATCTTTCTCAGAATATATATTTACAAATTTAAAAGTTCTTTTAATACGGAATAGGTCTAAATCTCTCAGCATTATGAATTTTTTCTAACCATGATATTTATTGACACTTGTTATGTTACTGTATTTCTTTGCATATTTTCTGTGCTAGCTTTTTAGCACCAAATTCCGAAAACTTAAATATCTGTATAATTTCCCTCTTTCCTCAATGCATTCAAAGAACAAGCTCCCCAAATTCCAAAGTGGATTCATCCAGGTAATGTTTGTTTTCATGTTATAATAAAGACAAACCCTCACAATATAAGAACCAACCCATCACAGCAAAGCAATCACGAACTGGCATTTGGTCTACGATTTCGCCGAGTCGGCTGCACATTTACCTTCTCTAATAATTTATGGATGCTTGATGCCTAAGGAATAGCAAAAGCAACAAGAAAGGTGAGATTCAAATTGCAGGGAAATAGAAATGTAGATACCTTAATAGATACTTAATATTACCATGTATTCTGATTGGAATGAAGATTTCTATTAAAGAAATATGATTGTTGCCTATAATTTACCCATGACTGCTTTACATTTGTTATATTCTTATTAATCTATCTAATAAATAGTGTCTGAATATTTTTTTAATGGCGGAGACTAGCCATTTTTAGGCTTTCACCGCTACGAAAGCCAGGTTTATTTGGTTTATTTAATTATGGCAAAGCACACTAGGGCTATGTGCCTCAGGGTAGAGATGCCTTCGTGGAGGACTTTCTAAGGTAAACTTGCTCATATACATGTTACAAATGGGGAAAACCACGAAAATGTCCATGCAGCCAGCCCATTCACAGGATTCGAACCTCGGACCGAACTACCAGTGTTCAGCGACTTTACCGCTCAGCCGCTGGTGGGCCCCCTACAAAGGCCAGAAGTGGTGGTCATTTATTATGAAGGCTTCTAACAGGTGGCCACCATTACCTCCTACGAGAGAACACGCCATTTACACCCGTGCCTTCTGCGGGATTTCGAACGCGGACCCTTTGGTATAGCAGTCACCTCCCCTAACCACTATACTGTCTGGGCGGCACTGTCTAAATATAACACTTTATACGTGAATCTAGAGGGCTTGGTTGCTTATAGGACTCAGTAGCATTTTTTCACATTAAGTTGTAGCTGTAAAATTTATAATAACTACACACGAAATTATTTACATGAAAGAAACAAAATTCTGCATAGAGTTTTATTTATTTGATAGAACTTATAAAGCCTTAGTTCTTATCGTCATCATCAATATTTACAATTTGCCAAGTAGGTAAAACCTGAGATTTTACACAGTACCTATTGGAGTCAAGGACTTGGCAAAAACAAAATGAATTTTGCTGTACAAAAATAAGAACAGTGTGCGACTGTACAAGTTGGACTAAAACAATACAATGTTTTGCTCTATACTGAAACATGAAATCAATGATTTGACTTTCTTACAATAAATCACATTTCTTCACAATGATTATGAGGTACAATAAAATTATAGTTAATGAATAATTAATAAAAATCATGTCTAAATTCATAATCAGAAGAATACAACAGTATCATAAAATAAATCACACAAACTGGGAAAAAGATAATAATTCAAGTTTAGTTTTCCTATTTCAAAACTAACTTTCATTCAATTTGAAGTAAATTATTTCTCCTATTCTTAACAGGCATAACATAGAATTAGAAATGTTTTCAATTCCAGTCTACATAAAAGTGAACGTAAATTACTCTGATATATCAAATTTGATAAAGAATAAAATACAAAGCACAGCACATATTTAAATTATTTTGGCTAATATAAAGCTGAATCTCATATTGGGCTTTTAAGACACCAACAGTTTTATAAGGAATTAGTTTACAAATCACAAATAAATTATTCTTAAACACATCTTTTTTTTTAATTAAGAATCGTTTTCTTAGGAACAAAAATATTAAAAGTCAACACAAAACTAATACAAATAACAGGAACAAATTATTGTTTGGGAAAAATACACATTTAATATTTTGGAATTTTTAAAATCCTGAAGTTTTACTGCAACAATTTTTATGCATCATACATGGTTGTAAAAAAAAAAAAAAATTATATCTTATGTACATAAGAATACCCTGTTTCTTTAGAGTACAGGAAGACTGACACAATAAGGAACACTTTTTTTAGGAAAGTGGAGCAATACTCTTTAGCTTTCCATAAAAATACTTTTTTACAAAATGTTATTTTAAAACAGCATATGTCACCTTGAGAGCTTGATTTGAAAGTCAGCTAGCTTTAAAGCAATATTAATATTTCTTATAATAATAATGTACAA